CTCTAAAAGGTTCAATATTCACCAATGCCACTAAAAGGTTCAATATTCACCAATGCCACTTTACCGGGTTGTTTCCCTTTTCAGACCACCTGGAATTCACCTCATAAACTGCAAGTATGAGTGTGGTAAGAATTTGTCATCCTAAAAACGCAAACATTTTTTTTATTTTACAATATTTGTTTAATTAAAATGTTGTTTTTATTCTTTCTAAAATATAATTAACAATGATTAGTTAAATTTTTATTAACATTCTATCCTAGTCTAGTTAACTCTAGTCTACTGTGTTCTATTCTATCAGAACCATTCTTCCACTGTCAAGTGTATGCAATGTTATAATTGGTGAATGGAATATCATGCCTGTTGTATTGCTGTGTGTGTGGTCAGTGAGACGAGCTGCCCTGGCGGTGGGTCTGAGAGAGGTGGGGGAGACAGAGGACTGGGCCATATACTGGACAGACTTCTCTGTATCCATGGACTGCATCATGGACATGAAGAGTTATCAGGTGTGAGCTATATGCCTATACGCACTCCTGGCTAACCTGTCCGAGTCTCTGATAGTAGTCAGATGTCTCATGAGTATTAACATAATTCAATTGGTATTTTATTAGGTATAGGTGTCAAATATTAAATATACAACAGTACAACGCCAGGGTTGTGGGTTCGATTCCCACGGGGGGCCAGTATAAAAAAAATATATATATTATTCACTAACTGTAAGTCGCTCTGGATAAGAGCGTCTGCTAAATGACTAAAATGTAAATGTACAAAAAAATGTATCACCCAATATTATTGATATGCATGGAACTTTGTCATGGGAACACTCCCACGTAGAGCCCATCTTACTGTACACATGACATGAACATATTTTTTTGGTGTGTAGAAAATTAACCACTTCCCAGGGATGAATGAGATCTACAGGAAGGATCTACTGGCCAGGAACATGAACCGGATGCTCCGACTCTTCCTTAAAGAGTACAACATCTTCCCCAAAACCTGGTGCCTCCCTGAAGAGTAAGAGCAGACTATGGGACATTTTTTATTTAGGCCTATGTAAAACACAAAAGGCCTACACATTTTTATTTTGCACCAAAATTGTGAAGGGTTTTCCAACAACATTGTATATACCAAATGGCTGTAATAATATAATAATGTGAAACCACCCAACATCCCTTGCAGCTACATTGAATTCCAAGGTTACTGTCGGGTGTGGAAGCACAAGACGTTTATCTGCAAACCTGACAATGGTTGCCAGGGCAAAGGGATCTACATCACCCGTCATCCCCGGGATATCAACCCTGAGGAGAACATAATTTGCCAGAACTACATCTCCAAGATAACCATGCCAAGACATGCAAGACATGGCTACCTGCTCATCCATATGAACTGCGCTGCTGATTGGGCAGTCAGTGGAGTGTGATTCGATTACTGTATATGCAGTGAAGGTGGTTGATGTGTAGGAAATAGGAATATACTGTATGTCAAATCATTGAGGGTTATGTCCTTTTCAGTGCTACATGGAAGTGTGTATTAGTCAACTGGTGTATTTGAAACTCTGTCACATTTGTTTTTGTATATAAGCTATACTCTTCATATAACTGATGCTGTAATTTTTAAAAGTGACAATTTTTTTATCCTTTCAGTCGGGTGTTGATGTCTGTTGACTGTGTTTTGTGGTTGGTGTCTATTACAGCCCTTCGTCTTGAAGTTAAGTTTGACCTCCGCCTGTATGTGCTGGTGACATCATGTGACCCACTGAGGATCTTCTTGTACAACAAGGGACTCATGCGCTTTGCCACCACCAAGTACATGCATCCTCACACAAACAACCTGGTAATAGCACTATCACCCACCACCAACAACATGCATAAAAAAATACCCATAAGATATAGGAAGCGATCAAACTCTTCCTGGTTTTTCCTGCAAATTCTTGTTTCAAGGATGACGTCTACATGCATCTCACCAACTATGCCGTCAACAAGCACAACAACTTTGACCGTGATATAGAGACAGGCAGTAAAAGGTCATCTGATCTCACAAAGTAAGGTTAGCTGTGCCGTCCTATGTGCTCTAGTTAAAGGAGGAAAACGCAACTCCAGTCCTCGAAGGCCACAGTTTTTTCTGTCTTCGTAATTTGGTGTATTAGTGTTATTGACTGGTTAGAGCTTTCACACACCTGTTTACACAGGACTGAGTCAGTCTCTGCTTTTTAAAGGCAAGGTGGAAAACCATCAGACACTGTGACCCTCGAGGACAAGGGCTGGGCACCCCTGAGTTGAAGTGATATTTCACCTGTTTGAACTTTCAGTTTATTAAGTGAAATATCCCTTGAAAGTGTCTGCTGTCCCAAACTCTTTTGACCCAGGAAGCTGTCAACCTTCCGGTCGTGGCTAGACCAGCACGATTACGACAGCAGTATGGTATGGAGGACGTGGTCATTAAGACTCTGATTGCTGCCCAGCCGACCCTGAGGCAGAACTACCTCATAGGCTTCCCCAGCCAGCTGGGGCCCAGATCCTGCTTTGAGATCCTGGGCTTTGACATCCTGCTAGATGCCAAGCTCAAGCCCTGGCTCCTGGAGGTGGGTGGTGGGTGGTGTTATGCATGGATCCCACTTCTGCCATCAATTGTGGGTTTGTTAGGAAAGACACAAGATTCATGAGTACGGTTAAGCCATGCTGTATTATCATCATGAGGATACATCGTGCTTGTGCTAAGGAGAATTACTGTGCACTATTTTCAAGATCAATCTTTATTTCTAATCAATTAATTGACTCAGCTAAGAATTGAGCCAATCCTGTTTATTCTACTCTATGCTGACCCCACACACTCCACCCCCTGCAGGTGAACCACTCCCCCAGCTTCGCCACAGACTCCCAGCTGGACTGGGAGGTGAAAGAGGCACTGCTGACCGACGCTCTGACCTTGCTAAACCTGGGGGCCATCGATCACAGGAGGATTCTGGAGGAGGACAAACGCATGACCAAGGAACGCCTCCTGCAGAAGCACCAGCCCTGCCCCAAGGCACGGTTAGTTCACCGCCTCATTCAACCAGTATGACTGAAGTGATGTTTTTGATTAACATTCTGAATCCTAATGTGTAAGTGTGACACAGACTTGTGTGTAAATGATTGAAAATTGAAGATTTGTGGAACAAGTTGAGTTTTTGGATCTCAGATTAGAATTCTGCATAATATAATTTATTTGATCTTTGGTATGTGTTTTCACCAAAAGGGGGCAGCCTTGTATTATGTATTCAACTGGGACCAGACCATTATACTATGTCCTAACCAAAGCCTGGTTGAACTTTTGTAAGTATCATTAATCCCACAGGAGGAAGCAGTTGCTCAACAGCCAGGCATCATGGATGGCTGAGCTTGAGAGGTATGAGCAGGAGCACTGTGGTGGCTTCTTCAGAATCTACCCCAGAGACGACTCCAACAAGTATGGGCCACTCTGCCAGGAGACCTTGGGCTCCAAAGCCAGGAAGGAGTGTGCCAGGTAGGCCTCTGAGTAAAGGGACACACCAATGTAGAGAGAGGAATGAGACAAATGTAGGCATTGGACTGGTATCCTTGTAGTGGACGAAGACAATAAAGAAAATAAAGACATATATTAGCATAGTGACTCTCTCCCGATGCACCATCCCTCTATTCTTTGTGTGAAGTTTTGTTCTTTAGCCTCATTTGTTCCATATGCATCTGCTGTAGCCAACTTCTTTAATAAGCAGAAAGAAGACACCTAGACTATTTGTAGTCTGTCTGTCCGTCCGTCTGTCTGTCAGGAAGATGTTGAGGGAGATGCAGATGAAGGAGGAGCTGGGCGGGCGCATGCGTTTGCCGGGGAAATGGTGGTGCTTCGGCGAGGGTCGAGGCCGGCAGTGGGAGTCGCCGGGTGAGAGAGGCAGCAGCCACAGAACAGTTGACAAACATGAGGTGGGTCCTGGGGTAGGATGAAGCAACTCCCTTTGAGTTAGCATCAGTAATAGCATTAGTTAGGATTAGCATTAGTTAGTGTTAGCGGTTAATGAATGATGTGTATTTACCTTTTCCTTCGTCCCACAGTGCCAGGTTGTGGTATGGGACTCGAGTCGGCCAGGGCTGATCGTGGAGGATGAGGAGCTGGAGCGTCAGCGGGGCCTGGAGCAGAGGGAGAGCCTGCTCATAGCCCTGGGAGGGGTGGACATGGTCTACAGCTTCCTGCAGCCCGGGGTCACCCGCAGCCACAGCGTGTTCAAGAGGGTCCCCTTCCCCCATGGCCATGGAGGGGTATGTACGGACAAGTCCAAGCACCAGAGATACTGTAGTCGTTGCAGACTATGATTCAGAACTGAGTGTTTTGATTTTAGTCCTGATCAGAAGTCACCTTTGCACTACTTAGGAAGTCAATACATGGAATGCTAGTAGAATTAGTTATCAAATCCACATACAATTGAATATATGTGTGAACTGTATGTCGCATTGGATAAAATATCAACAAAATGACCGTATTGTGCTTTTCCTCAAGGAATCTCTGGTCAGTAAGCTGTCCCATCCCATCAGAAAGGCAGCGCTGGCTCTCCCTCCCCCACTCAGCCAGGCAGGAGGCAGTGTTGTGTGGCTACGCTAAACCCTACCACAGACGTCCACGCTGCACCAAAAGCCCCAAGGCCAGATTACTGTCTGTACGGGTGATCAAACTGGGCCTGCCCGCACACACGTGGAGAGAAGTTGCTGCAGCCGTGAACTGCTGCGTAAGATTACTCACATAATAATAATAATAATATATAGTAATTTAGCAAGCTGTCTTACCCAAAGAGACCCATGGTTGACATCTATCAGCCAGACATTGTTTGGTGGGAGTGGATTGGGTGGTGAATTTTACAAACATAAAGTGAATTACTATGTATTGACTACAGTTGGAATGGAACTACAGTTGGTCATGTTTACTGTGTCTTCTCACTCCCCCAGATAGTTGTGCTGGAAGCTGGCACAACCGGACTGCGCTGCCTGGGGATGTGAGGCATGATGCACAGGGATTACAGCGTGGAGATGCAGAGGCACTGTTCTCTGACCCACTGTCTGTCCTGTCCGCGGGGCCTACAAGGCAGGGTGGAGGTGGGCCCCATGCCTGCCAGCTCCACCCCTAGCACAGAACAGACCCTCCCTTACCTGGGGCCATGGTTGGAGGAACTGGAGGGGCACTTCAAAATGTACCCTTCCCCTCACTTAACTCATTGTGCACTTACTAGATGGCAGGCTGACAGGTGTGTTCAGTTTTGTTATCCATATATAAAAGTCCCCTGTAGCTCAGTTGGTAGAGCATGGCGCTTGCAACGCCAGGGTTGTGGGTTTGTTTCCCACTGGGGGCCAGTATGAAAATGTATGCACTCACTAACTGTAAGTCGCTCTGGATAAGAGCGTCTGCTAAATGACTAAAATGTCAAATAAAAGACTATCTAAGCCTAGTTAGGCTGTACATTAGTCATGGAAGGAGCTTATGGGGCTTTGTTATGCAAGAACAACAGTCTCACCCTACACACACACACCCCTTAGTGATAGTAGTATAACTACTTAGTTAGGGTTCATCATGTATCACACACAGGAGATTAAAAACATGTTGAATCATTTTTGTCTTTTTCTTGTCTTGTCTTGTCTTGTCCTGCCGGTTTGACTGACTGAGAGGAGTTGTGTGACTTTCAACTCAGGTTGTTACAGGATGTGACCTTTCTCCAGGACCATTAACTAAGTAAATCCTGTCTTGCATCTTTCGAATACCTCAGGGGGACTGAAAGCACATTATTTACACTTAATGCATTACAGGATCAAGAGAACATAGGCCTGGGAGAGAGAGATGCGTCATCTCCTATCTCAAATAGAAGAGTATATCTTTCTATGTACCCAGTGCTTATGCTACATATGCTGAAATATACAGGTAACTTCCAAAATAAAGGAAGCACCATCATAAAGTGTCTTAATAGGGCATTTGGCCACCACCAGCCAGAACCGCTTCAGTGCACCTTGGCATAGATTCTACAAGTGTCTGGAACTCTATTGGAGGGATGCGACACCATATTTCCACGAGAAATTCCATCATATGGTGTTTTGTTGATGGTGGTGGAAAACGCTGTCTCAGGCACCGCTCCATAATCTCCCATAAGTGTTCAATTGGGTTGAGATCTGGTGACTGAGACGGTGATATGCATATGGTTTACATCATTTTCATGCTCATCAAACCATTCAAATACCAGGACATTTTAGCCAAAAACCTGGTTGCCTCTGCCAGGATCTTCCAGCAAGACAATAACCCCAAGCACAAATCAAAATCCACAACAACAACAAAAAATTTAACCCCATTGAAAACGTGGTTTGAATTGAAGAGAGCAGTCCATAAGCGCAGATGAAAGATAACAAGGATCTGGAAAGATTTCTTATGGAGGAATGGTTTTAAGATCCCTCCCAATGTGTTCTCCAATCTCATAAAACATTTTAGAAAAAGGCTCAGTGTCATTATCCTCTCAAGGGGAGGGTGCTGGAGTATTTAAAACAGGGGTGCCAATAATTTTGACCTATTTTATTTTTGTAAAATCTCTTTCTCTGAGCAAATGTATTACTATAGTAGCAATCCCGAGCGATCCTCGCTATATGAGCCACATTACAATTCCCACCAAGTGGGTTAACCCTATTTGCACAATGCCTTTCACACAAGCGACCCGGGTTCGCTTCCCTGTCCCGCCGTTTGCTACATTGGTGTCAGAAGTGGGATGGCGGGTGTGAGGCCACCGGAACGCACGGCCCGGAAGTGTGAGGGGACTGAGTAGTAGAGTCATGGGGACGTGCCTTCCCGTTTGGAGGAGGCAGTGTAGCGATCCCGAGTGATCCTCACTATATGAGCCACATTACAATTCCCAACAAGTGGGATTGGCGCGATGTGTAGGGTGTTTGCCTTTCACGTCAGCGACCTGGGTTCGCCTCGCTGGTCGCTACAGCATATTTTGCATACTACATAGCTCAGCATTTGTATTATATATTTGGTTTATTTTTGCTCATCTTTATAAAGGGTGGCAATAATTTTTGACCTGACTGTATACAATGTGAGACTCAAGTATTTGACAGGCTTTGATGTGTAGTGGAATCTTACAGCTTGCTCAAGTTTCTCCCATTTCAGTTTCTTCCAACACTTCATCATTGTGTGAGGCACAGGTGGTTGGTGGCACCTCACCAATTGGGGAGGACAGTCTCGTGGTAATGGCTGAAGCGGAATAAGTGGAATGGTATCAAATACATCAAACACATGGTTTCCATGTGTTTGATGCCATTCCATTCGCTCATTATTATGAACATTGGACAGTGTTAAAGCTGTTTTATGTTATTGTAAACACTTAAAATAAAAAGATTATGGTTAGGGAGTTCAGGACTATCTTATTTGTATTTAGGACATGCCAATGCCAATGCCAACCTTGATGCTGGCTGTATGCTGTGCAGACCTGCAGAAGTGCAGGCTCCTGCCTGACTGCCCCGCTGTCATTGCCCCCATTTTGTTCTAATGACAGCAAACAAATTCTAATGACAGCAAACAAATATTACCTGGTCACCCAGGGGCAACTGGGAAATGTGAGGTGTGCACTGGGCCCTATTTTGTTTAATGGAACTCTATTTTATTTTATTCTACATAATCTTTTGTTGCTTTTCCTTATACTGTATGACAAACTGACAAAACTGTGTAGAATCACTGACGTGAAAGAACTGTGTAGTTGAGATTCATAGATATATTATGGTCTATGGTGAGAGTATTGTCATGGCAACATGCTTCAAATCTGTCCATTCTTTTCCTTAGTGATTATGTAGGAGAGGAGACTAGGACAGGACTCTTAGTATGTATACATTTTATGCAGTCTATTGTGATGTCCTGAAAAGAAGCTACAAGTTCACATGAGAAAAAGTTAATTCAATGCTACTTCGGGAGGGCAGGAGGTGACTCAGAAGATTCCAAGCGAAGCAGACACACCCACCATCAACACCCTCCGGGGCCCCCAGAACTCCTGTCATCACTTACACACTACTGTATATAATATTTGCCGTCTTTCTCAATACGGCACCAAAGGCAACTGGACCATTGTCACAATAACACAATGGGTTGTATACAAAGCTTCAGGCAATGCTGTGACCGGCCGAAAAACACAAATGTCCGAATTAGTCTTCCAGCAGTGTGTTTCGTATGGCAAATTGCCATGATCATCTTATTCGGCATTTTTATCCGTTATAACAAGGAATCTGACGCACATTGGATAGAGCATAAAAAATCTGACAACATATCCAGTAACATTGAGAACGACTTCTATTTCAGATATCCAAGTAAGTGACCCAAAATGACCTGCTCTGCTGCTTTTTAATTTTGATTTATGTTTTCTTTTTAAATTGGTTTATTATTTCGATTTTATTTCACCAACCAAACATTTGTGAAATAAAATAATCCTATATATTCTAAACAAATCTTTGCCAATTTGGTTGTTTTATTCAGAAACGTTGATCCACAAATGATCACTTTTTATTGTCATATTAAGAAAATTATTAAACGCATAGGCCTATGAGCGCGAATGCTTTGCAATTCCATATGCGTACTTGAACATTATAGTTGAACATTGCATAAAATGATTAAATTAAACTTTTGTTCAGCAATAACATGTCATGTAATAGTTGTGAAAAATATAGATTATAATAGGCCTATTTTCCAGGAATGTCGTACTAACTTTCAAAGATATGCCACATATACACAGGTGTACAGTATATTCCCAGTGGGCTTTGTCCCTCCTTCCTCAAGTTCTTCATACCCCCACCCTCTCCCAACAGGTGCATCTGCAGACTCCCTGATGCTTATATAATCTATATCATCATCTGGCGAGAATTACAAGATTAATCATAAACATCAAGGCTGTGAATGTGTGTGTTGCCTGTGTGTGTTGCCTGTGCACGCGTGTGTGTGTCTTGTTTAGCTTCAGTTCAATTAGTATAGAATCTTATTTCACCTGTTATAGAATTATGAGGGTGTGGTTGAATTTAGCTCAGTACAGCAGCTACCTGTGGTGTGAGTGTCAGTCCTATCGCATGACCATTTCTTATAGAGTGTTGGATGTCAGGTTATAAATGATTTTGCTCTCACAGTCTATTGTCCAATCAAGCATGAGATCGAGGAGTAGGTCATTTGATCTCTGAAGTCAGTATGGGGACAATCTGAACTAGGCAGGGAGTTTTCTTCAAGGGCCATATTGTTTGTCTGGTACAAATAGATGCAGTATTTGTTAACCTGATGTGATATAAGAGTGGGTAACATGTACAGATATAGGATCTTAATTTGATCACCCTGTTGCAGGGGTACTTTCCTGCAATGCAGGAAATTTAAAACTTGTACTGTATTTGAGAAAAAAATTGATGTTTTATTGTCATATACACCAGAAAGGTGCAGTGAAATGTGTTGTTTACAGGGTCAGCCATAGTAGTACAGCGCCCCTGGAGCAAATTAGGGTTAAATGCCTTGCTCAAGTACACATTGATTTTTCACCTTGTCGGCTCAGGTATTTGAGCCAGCAACCTTTCGGTTACTAGCCCACCGCTCTAACTGCTAAACCACCTGAAGCTTGTAATTTCCACATAGAACTTTGACTAGATTTTTCCTTACGAAGAATGTATCAACCACCACATAAATGTCAATTTAATTATAATCCACATAATTCACCTTTCCTGTTGCTGCAGGATTATTTTCCTGCTGTAGTAAACTGCTTTAAATTAAGATCCTACATCTGTGGTAGTATATTAGGCTGTTGTGTGTACCTTTTTTTTGGAGTAACTATGATGTTTCACAGTGCGAATGCGACATATTGTCCTCTGGAATGCATCAGACATTCATGGCTGCTCATCTTGAAAATTATACTGGCAGGTTGATGCTAGTATTTATTCATCCTGTGGATGTAGCCAAGAGTCATTTCTTGGGGCCATATGATGATTTTGATGACTTTCAAAGGATGATGAATTTCGAAGTTAGTGACAATTTGTTTTATTGTAAAAAATGTAAAATTAAGTATTTGCATCTACCAGTAAGTTCACAGTAATGTTTTGCATCCCTTTTAACCTGTACATTATTTATACATACAGTGGGGGAAAAAAAGGTATTTAGTCAAATCAAATCAAATCAAATTTTATTGGTCACATGCGCCGAATACAACAGGTGCAGACATTACAGTGAAATGCTTACTTACAGCCCTTAACCAACAGTGCATTTATTTTTAACAAAAAAAGTAAAAATAAAACAACAACTAAAAAAAAGTGTTGAGAAAAAAAAGAGCAGAAGTTAAATAAAATAACAGTAGGGAGGCTAAATATATACAGCGGGGTACCGTTGCAGAGTCAATGTGCGGGGGCACCGGCTAGTTGAGGTAGTTGAGGTAATATGTACATGTGGGTAGAGTTAAAGTGACTATGCATAAATAATTAACAGAGTAGCAGCAGCGTAAAAGGATGGGGTGGGGGGGCAGTGCAAATAGTCCGGGTAGCCATGATTAGCTGTTCAAGAGTCTTATGGCTTGGGGGTAGAAGCTGTTGAGAAGTCTTTTGGACCTAGACTTGGCACTCCGGTACCGCTTGCCGTGCGGTAGCAGAGAGAACAGTCTATGACTAGGGTGGCTGGAGTCTTTGACAATTTTGAGGGCCTTCCTCTGACACCGCCTGGTATAGAGGTCCTGGATGGCAGGAAGCTTGGCCCCAGTGATGTACTGGGCCGTACGCACTACCCTCTGTAGTGCCTTGCGGTCAGAGGCCAAGCAGTTGCCATACCAGGCGGTGATGCAACCAGTCAGGATGCTCTCGATGGTGCAGCTGTAGAATTTTTTGAGGATCTGAGGACCCATGCCAAATCTTTTCAGTCTCCTGAGGGGGAATAGGCTTTGTCGTGCCCTCTTCACGACTGTCTTGGTGTGTTTGGACCATGATAGTTCGTTGGTGATGTGGACACCAAGGAACTTGAAGCTCTCAACCTGTTCCACTACAGCCCCGTCGATGAGAATGGGGGCGTGCTCAGTCCTCTTTTTTTCCCTGTAGTCCACAATCATCTCCTTTGTCTTGGTCACGTTGAGGGAGAGGTTGTTGTCCTGGCACCACACGGCCAGGTCTCTGACCTCCTCCCTATAGGCTGTCTCATCGTTGTCGGTGATCAGGCCTACCACTGTTGTGTCGTCGGTAAACTTAATGATGGTGTTGGAGTCGTGCCTGGCCATGCAGTCATGGGTGAACAGAGAGTACAGGAGGGGACTGAGCACGCACCCCTGAGGGGCCCCCGTGTTGAGGATCAGTGTGGCAGATGTGTTGTTACCTACCCTTACCACCTGGGGGCGGCCCGTCAGGAAGTCCAGGATCCAGTTGCAGAGGGAGGTCAGCCACCAATTGTGCAAGTTCTCCCACTTAAAAAGATGAGAGAGGCCTGTAATTTTCATCATAGGTACACGTCAACTATGACAGACAAAATGAGAAAATAAAATCCAGAAAATCACATTGTAGGATTTTTAATGAATTTATTTGCAAATTATGGTGGCAAATAAGTATTTGGTCAATAACAAAAGTTTCTCAATACTTTGTTATATACCCTTTGTTGGCAATGACACAGGTCAAACGTTTTCTGTACGTCTTCACAAGGTTTTCACACACTGGAGCCTCTTAAAGAAGAAGTTACAGGTCTGTGAGAGCCAGAAATCTTGCTTTTTTGTAGGTGACCAAATACTTATTTTCCACCATAATTTGCAAATAAATTCATTAAAAATCCTACAATGTGATTTTCTGGATTTTTTTTCTCTCAATTTGTCTGTCATAGTTGACGTGTACCTATGATGAAAATTACAGGCCTCTCTCATCTTTTTAAGTGGGAGAACTTGCACAATTGGTGGCTGACTAAATACTTTTTCCCCCACTGTATATGTTTATATTGGCCTCTGTACATCACCTTCTATGTCTTAGTCTGTATATTGGGTCTATGCCCTTGAGAATGCTCATGTTTTTCATTTTGAACATTGTAGAACTGTCATGTGGGTATCTCAAGAAACTTGATCTTGAGTTTCGGTATGGTACGTTCTAGTTGAGCCCTCAAGGATATTGCATGGTTGGATGTACACACTGTAAATATGGGGCTTCCAGCATGGACAGAACCCAAAACTTCCATGTCAACAGCTTTCTACTCATACTATCGGTATCTATGCGGTTATTTATGTATACTGTAGGTATCTACTGTACACAGTTAGTAACACAGAGATGTCCTTGAACCATGTTTGCATAATTTTCACTCTCTACCTTTCCACTATCCCCCAGTTCACCCTCACTTTCTCACACGCCATGTTGTGAAACAGGGATTCTTGAAAGACGGGACAATCCCAACTTTTCTTTCAGAAATATTATTCTTAATAATAACATTTGAAATATATATTCGTATAGATCAAAGTATCAGCTATCACACCATGTAAAGGAATTACCTCCTAATTTAAAACCTTTTTTAATAAAATGCACCTACTGTCACTGCATTTATGTCAACTCTGTCAGAGGAATTTCATTGTTATATTTATTGTCCAACAAGTGGTTAAAGGCCTTAATTGTTTCATTCTAACATTAGATTATTCAAAAATATTTTTGTTTTGTTTCATTGCTCCAAGGCTAATTTAATTAGCATTTTGGCATGCTTTTCTAGATTGAGAACATACAGTGGGGAAAAAAAGTATTTAGTCAGCCACCAATTGTGCAAGTTCTCCCACTTAAAAAGATGAGAGAGGCCTGTAATTTTCATCATAGGTACACGTCAACTATGACAGACAAATTGAGAATTTTTTTCTCCAGAAAATCACATTGTAGGATTTTTAATGAATTTATTTGCAAATTATGGTGGAAAATAAGTATTTGTCACCTACAAACAAGCAAGATTTCTGGCTCTCACAGACCTGTAACTTCTTCTTTAAGAGGATCCTCTGTCCTCCACTCGTTACCTGTATTAATGGCACCTGTTTGAACTTGTTATCAGTATAAAAGACACCTGTCCACAACCTCAAACAGTCACACTCCAAACTCCACTATGGCCAAGACCAAAGAGCTGTCAAAGGACACCAGAAACAAAATTGTAAACCTGCACCAGGCTGGGAAGACTGAATCTGCAATAGGTAAGCAGCTTGGTTTGAAGAAATCAACTGTGGGAGCAATTATTAGGAAATGGAAGACATACAAGACCACTGATAATCTCCCTCGATCTGGGGCTCCACGCAAGATCTCACCCTGTGGGGTCAAAATAATCACAAGAACGGTGAGCAAAAATCCCAGAACCACACGGGGGGACCTAGTGAATGACCTGCAGAGAGCTGGGACCAAAGTAACAAAGCCTACCATCAGTAACACACTACGCCGCCAGGGACTCAAATCCTGCAGTGCCAGACGTGTCCCCCTGCTTAAGCCAGTACATGTTCAGGCCCATCTGAAGTTTGATAGAGTGCATTTGGATGATCCAGAAGATGATTGGGAGAATGTCATATGGTCAGATGAAACCAAAATATAACTTTTTGGTAAAAACTCAACTCGTCGTGTTTGGAGGACAAAGAATGCTGAGTTGCATCCAAAGAACACCATACCTACTGTGAAGCATGGGGGTGGAAACATCATGCTTTGGGGCTGTTCTTCTGCAAAGGGACCAGGACGACTGATCCGTGTAAAGGAAAGAATGAATGGGGCCATGTATCGTGAGATTTTGAGTGAAAACCTCCTTCCATCAGCAAGGGCATTGAAGATGAAACGTGGCTGGGTCTTTCAGCATGACAATGATCCCAAACACACCGCCCGGGCAACGAAGGAGTGGCTTCGTAAGAAGCATGTCAAGGTCCTGGAGTGGCCTAGCCAGTCTCCAGATCACAACCCCATAGAAAATCTTTGGAGGGAGTTGAAAGTCCGTGTTACCCAGCGACAGCCCCATAACATCACTGCTCTAGAAGAGATCTGCATGGAGGAATAGGCCAAAATACCAGCAACAGTGTGTGAAAACCTTGTGAAGACTTACAGAAAACGTTTGACCTGTGTCATTGCCAACAAAGGGTATATAACAAAGTATTGAGAAACTTTTGTTATTGACCAAATACTTATTTTCCACCATCATTTGCAAATAAATTCATTAAAAATCCTACAATGTGATTTTCTGGATTTTTATTTCTCATTTTGTCTGTCATAGTTGACGTGTACCTATGATGAAAATTACAGGCCTCTCTCGTCTTTTTAAGTGGGAGAACTTGCACAATTGGTGGCTGACAAAATACTTTTTTTCCCCACCGTAGAACAAGATTTATTAAGCAAATGTGATCCTTTATGTCTAGTACAGCAAATACTTCAATAGTTTAAGCATATATTGCAGGACAATGATTAACATTTTCTTTTGAATATAAAAATCGATCTTAAGGGGGTTAGCAATCAGTGACAGAGTTGACCATCCACTGATGGAGTTGACAACAATAGATACTCAAAACAGACATATTCTTGTCTCTAAAAATAAAGGTTCAATACAAACATTTGTAAAACATGGAAAATTATTCATTTAACTGTCCCCAAGAATGAACACAACCATTCTACCCGATCTTTCAGCACTCTGACGGAGTTGACATTAGACAAAAATCTGACGGAGTGTATGTTTTATAGAGTTGACAAATGCATCTTTTTCTTTTTTATTCAAGTGGTATACTACATAATTTTGTTTTTCCTCAGTTGCTTTATGACTCTAAAACCTAATTGAAATGAACATATTTGAACCAAAAATCTTATTCTATCTTACTCTATGAAGGAGATGGCGTTGACAGCTTATGGTTGTGACCATGGTGATATCAATAATGTTTGTTTAAATATATCAAAAGTAGAGAACTTTTCAGACCATGAGTGGTCTTGTTGCACTACATTTAATCAGGAGCTGAAGAAGGGAAATCATATGAGAGTGTAAAGTTACTCATCAGACATTTTGCTATATAGTTTCCACAGGGGATGGATAGCTATGTTTGATCAAAAACACATCAAAGTCATTTTCATGTCAAGTTCATTGCCTTGGTAGAACTTGGAGTAATATGGAACTGACTCCAACTGACCCTCTCATTTCCCTAACAGTATTTATCTGCACCTTTTACCCATCCCTACCTCTCCCCCCACCCACCACCCCTCGCCCTCTTTCTCCCCCAGGTTTCCAGGATGTCCATGTGATGATCTTTGTGGGCTTCGGTTTCCTCATGACCTTCCTGAAGCGCTACAGTTTCGGTGCTGTGGGCTTCAACTTCCTCATCGCCGGCTTCGGCCTTCAGTGGGCACTTCTGATGCAGGGCTGGTTCCACTCTCTGGACCCCATGGACGGCAAGATCAAGATCGGCGTGGAGAGGTTAGAGTCCATCGGTTTTGGTCTAACAGCGTTAAACTTGTTCCCTTGGATCTTCTGTCTTTTGTGACTAATGAGATCAGTGAATATGCTGGTGTCGTATTTGATAGGTGAAAGTGATGTGGGTTTAAAAAAAGTTATATAGTCCTAGTTAAAGCATCCCCTCCTTTCACCACCGTGGTCACCTGGAAAGACGATAGTGAATATTGTATGGATTTATAAAATGATTTTCACTAGGACTCAAAGCACTTTACATTGTAATGTAAATAACATAAACAAACTCACCCCATCCAACAATGTATAGAGCCCTTCTGGCTGACCATTCACTGACTATAATTAGGACAGATCAAATAATAATATAATAATATGCCATTTAGCAGACGCTTTTATCCAAAGCGACTTACAGTCATGTGTGCATACATTTTTTACGTATGGGTGGTCCCGGGGATCGAACGCACTACCCTGGCGTTACAAGCACCATGCTCTACCAATTGAGCAACAGAGGCAAATTGTGGCAAATTTTATTTGCCACATGCGCCGAATACAACATGTGTAGACCTTCCAGTGAAATGGTTACTTACAAGCCCTTAACCAACAATGCAGTTTTAAGAAAAAAAGTGTTAAGTAAAAAATAGATAAGTAACAAATAAAAAAGGAACAGCTGATACTCTCATGCATGCTTCAGTGTTGCTTGCCTCGAAGCGAGCATAGAAGTGATTTAGCTCGTCTGGTAGGCTCGTGTCACTGGGCAGCTCGCGGCTGTGCTTCCCTTTGTAGTCAGTAATAGTTTGCAAGCCACATCCGACGAGTGTCGGAGCCGGTGTAGTACGATTCAATCTTAGTCCTGTATTGACTCTTTGCCTGTTTGATGGTTCGTCGGAGGGCATAGCGGGATTTCTTATAAGCGTCCGGGTTAGAGTCCCGCTCCTTGAAAGCGGCAGCTCTACCCTTTAGCTCAGTGCGGATGTTGCCTGTAATCCATGGCTTCTGGTTGGGGTATGTATGTACGGTCACTGTGGGGACGACATCATCGATGCACTTATTGATGAAGCCAGTGACTGATATGGTGTACTCCTCAATGCCATTGAAAGAATCCCGGAACACATTCTTTACATACAGTGGGGAGAACAAGTATTTGATTCACTGCCGATTTTGCAGGTTTTCCTACTTACAAAGCATGTAGAGGTCTGTAATTTTTATCATAGGTACACTTCAACTGTGAGAGACGGAATCTAAAACAAAAATCCAGAAAATCACATTGTATGATTTTTAAGTAATTCATTTGCATTTTATTGCATGACATAAGTATTTGATACATCAGAAAAGCAGAACTTAATATTTGGTACAGAAACCTTTGTTTGCAATTACAGAGATCATACGTTTCCTGTAGGTCTTGACCAGGTTTGCACACACTGCAGCAGGGATTTTGGCCCACTCCTCCATACAGACCTTCTCCAGATCCTTCAGGTTTCGGGCTGTCGCTGGGCAATACGGACTTTCAGCTCCCTCCAAATATTTTCTATTGGGTTCAGGTCTGGAGACTGGCTAGGCCACTCCAGGACCTTGAGATGCTTCTTACGGAGCCACTCCTTAGTTGCCCTGGCTGTGTGTTTCAGGTCGTTGTCATGCTGGAAAACCCAGCCACGACCCATCTTCAATGCTCTTACTGAGGGAAGGAGGTTGTTGGCCAAGATCTCGCGATACATGGCCCCATCCATCCTCCCCTCAATACGGTGCAGTCGTCCTGTCCCCTTTGCAGAAAAGCATCCCCAAAGAATGATGTTTCCACCTCCATTCTTCACAGTTGGGATGGTGTTCTTAGGGTTGTACTCATCCTTCTTCTTCCTCCAAACACGGCGAGTGGAGTTTAGACCAAAAAGCTCTATTTTTGTCTCATCAGACCACATGACCTTCTCCCATTCCTCCTCTGGATCATCCAGATGGTCATTGGCAAACTTCAGACGGGCCTGGACATGAGAAGGGGGACCTTGCGTGCGCTGCAGGATTTTAATCCATGGCGGTGTAGTGTGTTACTAATGGTTTTCTTTGAGACTGTGGTCCCAGCTCTCTTCAGGTCATTGACCAGGTCCTGCCGTGTAGTTCTGGGCTTATCCCTCACCTTTCTCATGATCATTGATGCCCCACGAGGTGAGATCTTGCATGGAGCCCCAGACCGAGGGTGATTGACCGTCATCTTGAACTTCTTCCATTGTCTAATAATTGCGCCAACAGTTGTTCCCTTCTCACCAAGCTGCTTGCCAATTGTCCTGTAGCCCATCCCAGCCTTGTGCAGGTCTACAATTTTATCCCTGATGTCCTTACACAGCTCTTTGGTCTTGGCCATTGTGGAGAGGTTGGAGTCTGTTTAATTGAGTGTGTGGACAGGTGTCTTTTATGCAGGTAACGAGTTCAAACAGGTGCAGTTAATAAAGGTAATGAGTGGAGAACAGGAGGGCTTCTTAAAGAAAAACGAACAGGTCTGTGAGAGCCAGAATTCTTACTGGTTGGTAGGTGATCAAATACATATGTCATGCAATAAAATGCAAATTAATTACTTAAAAATCATACAATGTGAATTTCTGGATTTTTGTTTTAGATTCCGTCTCTCACAGTTGAAGTAAAAAATTACAGACCTCTACATGCTTTGTAAGTAGGAAAACCTGCAAAATCGGCCGTGTATCAAATACTTGTTCTCCCCACTGTATTATGTATAACCTTATGAATGAGTCCTATGTGAATGAGTCAGTCATGCAGAACATATACCTACATCATTGAAATCAATCTATAGAAGAACATGTGTGGATGGAAATGAATCCTGCATGCATGCATGGTGGGAGTGCCAGAGAGAGCCTATCGTGACGCAAGTTGAGGAACCGGTCTGCATGTGAAAATCCCTCATATGTATCACCTGTTACTGTTGATCCTCTTGTCTTGTGAGATTTACTGTCTGTGGACACTAATGGGAGGGCAAACAAAAACACAGCACTACATGTAATCACACATTTATGATACTGCTGAAGTATTGTATAAACAGATGATACGTGTGTGTGCATGTCTGTGTGACGTGTGTGATTGTAAGCAAATGTGTGTGTACGTGTTTGTATGTGTACGCTAATAGGGAGGGAACAAGCTCCCTCACGACGCCAGGACGGCGGAGTCACTCACCACCTTCCGGAGACACTTGAAACCCCACCTCTTTAAGGAATACCTGGGATAGGATAAAGTCATCCTTCTACCCCCCCCCCCTTACCCCACCCCCCCAAAATAAAAAATAAATACAAAAATAAAAAATTAACATATTGTAAAGTGGTTATCCCACTAGCTATAAGGTGAATGCACCAATTTGTAAGTCGCTCTGGATATGAGCGTCTGCTAAATGACATAAATGTAAATGTAAATACCATAATAGCAGTTTGGTATCCTAGCAGAAGGGCCCAATATACAGTGGGGAAAAAAAGTATTTAGTCAGCCACCACTTAAAAAGATGAGAGAGGCCTGTAATTTTCAGCATAGGTACACGTCAACTATGACAGACAAATTGAGATTTTTTTTCTCCAGAAAATCACATTGTAGGATTTTTTATGAATTTATTTGCAAATTATGGTGGAAAATAAGTATTTGGTCACCTACAAACAAGCAAGATTTCTGGCTCTCACAGACCTGTAACTTCTTCTTTAAGAGGCTCCTCTGTCCTCCACTCGTTACCTGTATTAATGGCACCTGTTTGAACTTGTTATCAGTATAAAAGACACCTGTCCACAACCTCAAACAGTCACACTCCAAACTCCAATATGGCCAAGACCAAAGAGCTGTCAAAGGACACCAGAAACAAAAGTGTAGACCTGCACCAGGCTGGGAAGACTGAATCTGCAATAGGTAAGCAGCTTGGTTTGAAGAAATCAACTGTGGGAGCAATTATTAGGAAATGGAAGACATACAAGACCACTGATAATCTCCCTCGATCTGGGGCTCCACGCAAGATCTCACCCCGTGGGGTCAAAATGATCACAAGAACGGTGAGCAAAAATCCCAGAACCACACGGGGGGACCTAGTGAATGACCTGCAGAGAGCTGGGACCAAAGTAACAAAGCCTACCATCAGTAACACACTACGCCGCCAGGGACTCAAATCCTGCAGTGCCAGACGTGTCCCCCTGCTTAAGCCAGTACATGTCCAGGCCCGTCTGAAGTTTGCTAGAGTGCATTTGGATGATCCAGAAGAGGATTGGGAGAATGTCATATGGTCAGATGAAACCAAAATAGAACTTTTTGGTAAAAACTCAACTTGTCGTGTTTGGAGGACAAAGAATGCTGAGTTGCATCCAAAGAACACCATACCTACTGTGAAGCATGGGGGTGGAAACATCATGCTTTGGGGCTGTTTTTCTGCAAAGGGACCAGGACGACTGATCCGTGTAAAGGAAAGAATGAATGGGGCCATGTATCGTGAGATTTTGAGTGAAAACCTCCTTCCATCAGCAAGGGAATTGAAGATGAAACGTGGCTGGGTCTTTCAGCATGACAATGATCCCAAACACACCGCCCGGGCAACGAAGGAGTGGCTTCGTAAGAAGCATTTCATGGTCCTGGAGTGGCCTAGACAGTCTCCAGATCTCAACCCCATAGAAAATCTTTGGAGGGAGTTGAAAGTCCGTGTTGCCCAGCGACAGCCCCAAAACATCACTGCTCTAGAGGAGATCTGCATGGAGGAATGGGCCAAAATACCAGCAACAGTGTGTGAAAACCTTGTGAAGACTTACAGAAAACGTTTGACCTGTGTCATTGCCAACAAAGGGTATATAACAAAGTATTGAAAAACTTTTGTTATTGACCAAATACTTATTTTCCACCATCATTTGCAAATAAATTCATAAAAAATCCTACAATGTGATTTTCTGATTTTTTTTCTTCTCATTTTGTCTGTCATAGTTGACGTGTACCCATTATGAAAATTACAGGCCTCTCTCATCTTTTTAAGTGGGAGAACTTGCACAATTGGTGGCTGACTAAATACTTTTTTTCCCCACTGTAAAGTAGGATGTCAATTAAATCAGTGTTGTGAGGTAAACAGAGTTATGGTTATGTGAGATCATAGAAATACTGTGCATAGACGGGACGCAGCTCTGTATTTTGTGTGTGGTTTTATTTGTAACAAACTACTGAAGGATACAAATTGACCAAGTCAATATACTATATCATAATGTTGGAAGGGCCTTTTAATAACAAGGTTCTTCAATTATTATTCAACTATTGGCCTTTGAGGATGAAGTCATTGTCATTATTTTCTGTGACCATTTTCTAGGGACAATGATATGGGCATGCTACACTTTTAGAACATAGACACACCAATATCCTGTTATTATTTGGGATACTGTATTATTATGTTTTTGAGTTGATGCATATAAACATCATATCCTGTTTACAATAACCAGAAAAGGCTTGTATCCCGGTTATGAGAAACCCGGATAAGATGCCTGGTATATGCTGATCTTAGACAGGATACACTGGCATGTCAACACTTTATCCCCTTTAATGTTGTTTTCCGTGGTCTGTGAAGGCTCAGTTTAGCATGTCATGCGTGTTGTGTCATGATGTTTTCATCTGATTGTCAAACTAATCACTTTAAAAAGTGCGCTATACCTGCGCAGTTCGATCCACCATAATATTTCCATAATAATGTATTTTGCTGATACTCCGTACTGGACCATATAGCCTACTGGCTCAGGCTACTTTCACCCCTAATTTAGATACGTTTCTGCTTATAATTTCCAACATTTGGTAGGCCATATTTTAATTTAGGCCATTTGTCAACTACAGTTAGATACATGCAGCTTCTCTTCTGTCATAACTTGTTGCCTAGAAGACTAAATAAAGTAGTGCTCCACCAGAATAATGTCTTACATTGATAGAAGGAATGCATTAGTAATCAAGTTAATTAACACTGGTAAAGTTGTGATTCGTTTAGGGACCGGGGAGAAAGATTGGAAAGATTGTTCCCATGCAAAATGTCCAAATGTCATCAGTTTAACCAGTTTTAAGGAAATTAAAAGCTGAGAAAACTCTAAAACACGTTTCTGATAAGACTGGGTGCATATTTTATGTGGTTGAAAGACTGTCTGCTTGCATAACAGTGACAAAGATTAACACGTTACATGTGCATTTGCATTTTCTCAAGAGATGCTTGAAAGAAATAAATCATATTTCACCACTCCTGTTCCCAAGACAAAATTAATAATTGTTGCATACTTTAAATGCATAATTCTGCAGGAGTTAATATTATATTAGGCTACATGTGAGAGGTTATAGGCCTACAGTCAGTGTCCAGATTTCAGATACTATTCGATTTAGCCCATATGCACTGAAATTAGGAATATTCTGTTTATTTCTGGATACAGGGATACTCGTGAGCGGGATATCAAAGGTGCATGTTAACAGCTTATCCCAAATAATCCCTTAAGCGGGAAATTAGCTACTATCCGGAACACTGTGCACATATAAATGTAGTCAATGACCAATTGACAAAAGACAGCACAAACGTATCTGGTACCAGGCTGACACCGACCCAGTATACATTCTAATCCTACCCTGGTTCTGTCCTTCTCAGCATGATCAATGCAGACTTCTGTGTAGCCAGCTGCCTGATAGCGTACGGGGCGGTGCTAGGCAAGGTGAGCCCAGTCCAGCTGATGGTGATGACGCTGTTCGGAGTCACTCTGTATGCTGTGGAGGAGTATATCATCCTCAGCCTCATACATGTAAGTCTTTAGTAAATAATAAAGGCTTTAATATTAAGTCTTGCATAAAACCTGCAAACATGGTCCTCAAGAATGGCCCACAGTGATGCTGTGTCATGGTACGTGCTTGTTTGATTGATAGAATGCATTTACCTTTACAATAAGATTTTATGGAATAGATGCAGATATCTATACTGAACAAAAATATAAATGCAATATGCAACAATTTCAAAGATTTTATTGAGTTACAGTTAATATAAGGAAATCAGTCAATTGAAATAAATTCATTAGGCCCTAATCTATGGATCGTGAATACAGATATGCATCTGTTGGTCACAGATACCTTAAAAATATGACATTCTCCCAATCCTCTTCTGGATCATCCAAATGCACTCTAGCAAACTTCAGACGGGCCTGGACATGTACTGGCTTAAGCAGGGGGACACGTCTGGCACTGCAGGATTTGAGTCCCTGGCGGCGTAATTAAGTAGGGGTGTGGATCAGAAAACCAGTCAGTATCTGGTGTGACTATCATTTGCCTCGTGCAGTGGGATGCATCTCCTTTGCATAGAGTTCATCAGGCTATTGATTGTGGCCTGTGGAATGTTGTCCCACTCCTCTTTAATGGCTGTGCGAAGTTGCTGGATATTGGTGGGAACTGGAACACGCTGTCGTACACGTCGATCCAGAGCATCCCAAACATGCTCAATGGGTGACATGTCTGTTGAGTATGTAGGGCATGGAAGAACTGGGACCTTTTCAGCTTCCAGAAATTGTGTACAGATCCTTGTGATATGGGGCAGTGCATTATCATGCTGAAACATGAGGTGATGGCGGCAGATGAATGGCACGACAATGGGCCTCGGGATCTCGTCACGGTATCTCTGTGCATTCAAATTGGCATCGATAAAATGTAATTGTGTTCATTGTCCATAGCTTATGCCTGTCCATACCATAACCCCACTGCCACCATGGGGCACTCTGTTCACAACGCTGACATCGTCACCCAATGTCTGGCAACAGCACTGGTGGACATTCCTGCAGTCATGCTAACTGCAGGAATGGTGCACCTGTGTAATGATCATGCTGTTTAATTAGATTTTTGATGTGCCACACCTGTCAGGTGGATGGATTATCTTGGCAAAGGAAAAATGCTCACTAACAGGGATCTAAACAAATTTGTGCACAAAATCTGAGATAAATACGCTTTTTGTGACCATGAACATTTTCTAGGATCTTTTATTTCAGCTTATGAAACATGGGACCAACACTTTACATGTTGCATTTATATTTTTGTTCAGTGTACATACGAATAAGGTGGCTGGTTTACTGTATATCATTCTACGTTACAGGCCAGGGATGCTGGTGGCTCCATGGTGATCCACACATTCGGGGCTTATTATGGTCTGTCCATCTCGTGGATGCTGTACCGGCCCAACCTGGACCAGAGCAAGCATCGGATTGGCTCTGTCTACCAATCCGACATCTTTGCCATGATCGGTGAGGCTGAGCCACAATGGTTGACACTTTTCACAATTGCCATACTCGTATTGATGAAACTGTACTACCATGGATCCATTCCTGCCCCATAGGAACCCTGTTCCTGTGGATGTTCTGGCCTAGTTTTAACTCGGCCATCTCGGACCACGGGGATGGGCAGCACCGAGCGGCCATAAACACATACCTGTCCCTGGCCGCCACTGTCCTCACCACCATAGCCATCTCCAGTCTCTCCCAGAAGACCGGCAAGCTGGACATGGTAATGTAATGGACACACATGATGTGCATTAGATATATTAGCCTGGTCCAAGATCTGATTGTGCTGTCCTGCCAACTCCTATGGTCATACCCACTAACTTTTTATCATGTACTGTATCTCCACTCAAGCTATTGGCCAACTCTTTTGTTCCTGTGTTTCAGGTTCACATCCAGAATTCCACGCTGGCCGGGGGCGTTGCCGTGGGAACGGCAGCAGAGTTCATGCTAATGCCTTATGGGTCTCTGATCGTAGGGTTCTGCTGTGGCATAATCTCCACCCTTGGCTATATTTATATCACGGTAATGTAGAATATGGAGTCACATCAGTTTTATTCATGAGTTTTCGATCTGCAACATTTCACAAAATGTGCTTACTGAATGCAGTGAAGGCTAGTACAGTAGTGACAAGTAAGTTGCTTATGACTAGGCGACTCCTATTTGATTAGTGGGCATGTAGCTAGCTATGTGTCTCTGTCCCCTCAGCCGTTCATGGAGAAGTATCTGAAGATCCATGACACGTGTGGCATCCACAACCTCCACGCCATGCCTGGGGTCATAGGGGGCATCGTGGGCGCCATCACTGCTGCAGCCGCCAGTGAAGGGGTCTATGGCAAGGAGGGGTGAGTTCACAGGTTACAACCGTATGCCCAACCAATGGCCTGTTATTATTTCAATCTGCACCAGTTTTAGGCCTAATTGGCAGCTTTAACGTGATGAACTCATCTAATGTCATTATTATGCACATGTAGTAGTGGCACAGCAGCTGGGCAACAAGAATACTGCGGCAATAAAAAGAAAGTCTGCTCAGTTGTTGCCGCTTCCAAATGTGATATTTTCCTTTGACTTACTGATGTAGAGTAACAATCTTGTTTTTTAAATAGGTTGATAAACACGTTTGACTTTACGGGGGAATGGAAAGACATGGTGCCGACCCGGCAGGGAGGACACCAGGCAGCAGGGCTCTGTGTTGCCCTCTGCTTTGGAATCGGAGGAGGAATCATTGTTGGTGAGAGTTGGACACAACTTAATGGTGTCCCGATTAGGTTGAGTGTGTCTGTGTTTGCATGCATGTTTTCATGAGAAGAGGTTACAAGATAGCTGCCAAGTTATTGTGGTATTGTAGTATTTTTTGGCTGTGGTGGTGTATTTGAATAATTGCTACATGTACTCAATGTTGGTGAGATGAGGATGTTGTGTTTGTCCCCAGGCTGTATCCTGAGGTTACCTATCTGGGGGGATGCTCCTGATAACAACTGCTTTGATGATGAGATCTACTGGGAGGTGAGATACTGAACTAAACCATTAGTCTAACTAGCATGAAGACAGTGAAGCCATTTTGGAGCTATTTTTCTGAAGGTGATTTCTTTTTTTTCAGTAATATTTTACTCCTTTTATTTTCATTGATTTGTGTCATTGTTAAAGGGAAGTGTATGTTTTTGTCACCCCTGTCAACTAAAAAACAGTGTTTCCCTCATACTGTCACGTCCTACATGGAATGGTCAATACCAGTGTTTAGTTATTAACTTGTATCCAGTCCAAGGAGGGTTGATATTGTTATGTCTAAATGGTCTTTGGTTTGAAGTGGCTGAGGAAGGATATGGCAGTGGAAACTATGATTAACTCTTCTTTTACATGCTGTTGGAAGCTCTAATAAAAATGTTTCTATGATGATGATGATTTCTGCCACCAGTTACCTGAGGATGAAGAGAACAATCCACCTACCGTGGAGTACAACAACCACATGCGGAACAAGGCCGTGTAAGTATCAGATTTGTGCAACAGTGTGATCATGGAGATTGGATTGTAAGGCTTTCATATCTTACAACTCATGGTAAGACATGAGAACTGCTTTGGTTCTCATAAGATGTGTTATGTCAAATATCCTCAAGATGGTAGCAGACCACTGTGCTATATGCAGTGTATGCCCTCCACTAGTGCAAACAATCCATGTTTGGGTCTACACAATACGGAGACGATTGCCTCAAATGAGTGGAGATAGCATTGCACCATCACCCCCTTGCCCAGGTCCGAGCAATTCTACACATTTTGCCATGGGAAAGATAATTTGTTTTGATGTTTTAAAGATACATTCCTGTAATTTTTTCCTGTAAATTTTCAATTTAGGAGGTATCTGTCTATTTGATGTAAAACAATATAGAAAAAGAACAGGAAACTACTTTTAATTCCATTTAAGTGAAGCAATTTGAAAATAAAAAGAGTGTACTGGTCAGAATTTATGAATAAACTGGCTGGCTGAGGCCTTGACATGATGAAACCATGTTGGAGAAGCTGTGTAGCCTATATATTTACTTGAATTTGATGGTTGCTGTTTAAATATGTGTTTAGGGGCTGTATCAGTTTCACACAAAGATTGTAACCTTAATGTAACCTTTGTCATTTACAGAACAGAATCAAATTTATCTTTGGAACGGAGTCAGAACTTACACTAGGGCCTGATGTCATCTCCCCCCTACACTTTCAACTGATGGTCTATCCTACACTGACTCCTGCTAGACAGAAATCAGTCATCTCCTCTTCACCATTCTGTATACTGTCCTGTTCATGGAATTAATAGTACATTTGTACTACTTTAGATGGAATCACAACAACAACTTCCTAAGAAACACTGATACTTGTTATCTTTAATGAAATCACATTGGAAAATAATAAAATACAAATAAATGGTGGCATGTTTTAAAAATAATGGTGGCATGTTTTATCACCAGTCAGGCATATGTCGAATCACAAGCAGACGCTTAATCATTCATATGAACTGTAAAATAGGCTACTGTATGTGACTGTACACAATGTCTTTACACAGCCCACACCTCCAATGATGCTGGTGCTAGAATAATTATTGTAGTAATCAGAATTTGTGGAGATTCTGTCGTTTCTGGCAGGTATACTGTATGCCATGTTTTGTTTGTTTGTTTATGTTTTTTTAGGTCCAGTTGCTGGGGCGTTTCATTGGGGGGCCAAGGGGGGACCAAGAACCGTTCATGAGTGGCAATGGGAAATCAGCAAATTGTATCACAAATAGTGTTGAAAATTGGCTTAAACTGTGATGTATTGAATAACTGTTTCAAATTGTAATTTTTGTCTGCCCTAATCTATTTAAATAAATTAAACAATAATTAACAAAAAAACTTTACTTGTCTTTTTCAACTAGCACTGAATTTGCTGATAATTACTTTATAATTATAATATTTTTTTAAACCTAGCCATCTTCCACCTCTGCCCTTCGTTCAACTGACAGCCCGAATCCACTATCCACGATGGGTGTGATGAAACAACAGAAGCCCCATTAATTTTCCACAGAGGAGAGCAAAGTGGACAGATGGATTATTGGGCGATGCGAGCATGCATGGGCGAGGGAGCGTGAACAGGGTGGGGAAAGTTTAACTTTATGCAAATACTCTGCGATATCGAGGCGTGATTGACCAATCAAAGCTCAGTATAGCTTCCAGCCACTACTGGATTGGCTGTTGATACCTAGCACTACCTAGCATGTTTGCTAGCACCCAAATGAGGGCGAAGCTAGCGTGGCAAGCTGAATTATCATGGTATTGTGGATCACGGCCATGAGAGGGAAGTCGCACTGTTCACTGCAGCTATTCGATCCATTCTCCGTAGTCCTAAAGCCAGCTAGCCAAGCAAACAGCTTTCAAGCCTGCTCTAAGGCATCCGCATGGTCCTAAGCCAGCCCGCTAATACCACTTTGGTCTAACAGTGTTAAACTATACTGAACAAAAATATAAATACAACATGCACCAATTTCAAATATTTTACTGAGTTACAGTTCATATAAGGAAATCAGTCAATTTAAATAAATGCATTAGGCCCGAATCTAGGGATTTCACATGACTGGGAATAAAGATATGCATCACAGATACCTTAAAAAAAGGTAGGGGCGTGGATCAGAAAACCAGTCAGGATCTCAAATCAAATCCGAATGAAATTTTATTTGTCACATGCGCCGAATACTACAGATGTAGACCTTACTGTGAAATGCTTACTTACAAGCCCTTAACCAACAATGCAGTTCCAATTAGGGAAGGGGTGGTGGGGTTGGAAAGTAATGAAGGGAAATATATTATAAAAAAAGGATATGTATGTATATGTATTTATATGTTTGTATGTGTGTATGTATGTATGTATATGTATGTATATATATATACACTGCTCAAAAAAATAAAGGGAACACTTAAACAACACAATGTAACTCCAAGTCAATCACACTTCTGTGAAATCAAACTGTCCACTTAGGAAGCAACACTGATTGACAATACATTTCACATGCTGTTGTGCAAATGGAATAGACAACAGGTGGAAATTATAGGCAATTAGCAAGACACCCCCAATAAAGGACTGGTTTTGCAGATGGTGACCACAGACCACTTCTCAGTTCCTATGCTTCCTGGCTGATGTTTTGGTCACTTTTGAATGCTGGCGGTGCTTTCACTCTAGTGGTAGCATGAGACGGAGTCTACAACCCACACAAGTGGCTCAGGTAGTGCAACTCATCCAGGATGGCACATCAATGCGAGCTGTGGCAAGAAGGTTTGCTGTGTCTGTCAGCGTAGTGTCCAGAGCATGGAGGCGCTACCAGGAGACAGGCCAGTACATCAGGAGACGTGGAGGAGGCCGTAGGAGGGCAACAACCAAGCAGCAGGACTGCTACCTCCGCCTTTGTGCAAGGAGGAGCAGGAGGAGCACTGCCAGAGCCCTGCAAAATGACCTCCAGCAGGCCACAAATGTGCATGTGTCTGCTCAAACGGTCAGAAACAGACTCCATGAGGGTGGTATGAGGGCCCGACGTCCACAGGTGGGGGTTGTGCTTACAGCCCAACACCGTGCAGGACGTTTGGCATTTGCCAGAGAACACCAAGATTGGCAAATTCGCCACTGGCGCCCTGTGCTCTTCACAGATGAAAGCAGGTTCACACTGAGCACGTGACAGACGTGACAGAGTCTGGAGACGCCGTGGAGAACGTTCTGCTGCCTGCAACATCCTCCAGCATGACCGGTTTGGCGATGGGTCAGTCATGGTGTGGGGTGGCATTTCTTTGGGGGGCCGCACAGCCCTCCATGTGCTCGCCAGAGGTAGCCTGACTGCCATTAGGTACCGAGATGAGATCCTCAGACCCCTTGTGAGACCATTTGCTGGTGCGGTTGGCCCTGGGTTCCTCCTAATGCAAGACAATGCTAGACCTCATGTGGCTGGAGTGTGTCAGCAGTTCCTGCAAGAGGAAGGCATTGATGCTATGGACTGGCCCGCCCGTTCCCCAGACCTGAATCCAATTGAGCACATCTGGGACATCATGTCTCGCTCCATCCACCAACGCCACGTTGCACCACAGACTGTCCAGGAGTTGGCGGATGCTTTAGTCCAGGTCTGGGAGGAGATCCCTCAGGAGACCATCCGCCACCTCATCAAGAGCATGCCCAGGCGTTGTAGGGAGGTCATACAGGCACGTGGAGGCCACACACACTACTGAGCCTCATTTTGACTTGTTTTAAGGACATTACATCAAAGTTGGATCAGCCTGTAGTGTGGTTTTCCACTTTAATTTTGAGGGTGACTCCAAATCCAGACCTCCATGGGTTGATAAATTTGATTTCCATTGATAATTTTTGTGTGATTTTGTTGTCAGCACATTCAACTATGTAAAGAAAAAAGTATTTAATAAGATTGTTTCATTCATTCAGATCTAGGATGTGTTATTTTAGTGTTCCCTTTATTTTTTTGAGCAGTGTATATATATATATATATATATATATATAATTGCGAGAAGAAAAAAAAACATATGGGGGATTGGAAGTGATACAGACAATTACATTGATGGAAGTTACAATCTATCTGCAATATTAAAGCTGATCTAGCCCCCCCCCCCAAAAAACGTATAAAACCAAACAATGCAGTTCAAGAAATAGAGTTAAGAAAACATTTACGATATAAACGAAAGTAAAAAAAAAAAATACTATGAAAAAGTTATACAAGAAAATTACATAACAATAACGTGGTTATATACAGGGGGTACCGGTACCGAGTCAATGTGCGGGGGTACAGGTTATCGAGGTAATTTGTAAAGTGACTGCATAGATAATAAACAGTGAGTAGCAGCAGTGTAAAAACAAAGGGGGGGGGGGGGGGGGGGGGGTTCAATGTAAATAGTCCGGGTGGCCATTTGATTAAATGTCCAGCATTCTTATGGCTTGGGGGTAGAAACTGTTAAGGAGCCTTTTGGTCCTAGACTTGACGCTCCGGTACCTCTTGCAGTGCGGTAGCAGAGAGAACAGTCTATGAATTGGGTGACTGGAGTCTTTGACAATTTTTAGGGCCTTCCTCAGACATCGCCTAGTACATAGGTCATGGATGTCAGGAAGCTTGGCCCCAGTGATGTACTGGGCCGCACGCATTACCCTCTGTAGCACCTTACGGTCAGATGCCGAGCAGTTGCCATACCAGGCAGTGATGCAACCGGTCAGGATGCTCTCGATGGTGCAGCTGTATAACCTTTTGAGGATCTGGGGACCTATGCCAAATCTTTTCAATCTCCTGAGGCGGAAAAGGTGTTTTTGTGCCCTCTTCACAACTGTCTTGGTGTGTTTGGACCATGATAGTTTGTTGGTGATGTGGACACCAAGGAACTTGAAACTCTCGATACGCTCCACTTCAGCCCCATTGATGTAAATGGGGGACTGTTCGGCCCTCCTCCTTTTCCTATAGTCCACGATCAGCTCATTTGTCTTGCTCACATTGAGGGAGAGGTTGTTGTCCTGGCACCACACTGCCAGGTCTCTAACCACCTACCTATAGGCTGACTCATCGTTGTCGGTGATCAGGCCTACCACTGTTGTGTCGTCAGCAAACTTAATGATGGTGTTGGAGTCGTCCTTGGCCATGCAGTCATGGGTGAACAGGGAGTACAGGAGGGGACTAAGCATGCACCCCTGAGGGGCCCCAGTGTTGAGGATCAGCGTAGCAGATGTGTTGTTGCCTACCCTTACCACCTGGGGGTGGCCCATCAGGAAGTCCAGGATCCAGTTGCAGAGGGAGGTGTTTAGTCCCAGGGTCCTTACCTTAGTGATGAGCTTTGTGGGCATTATGGTGTTGAACGCTGAGCTGTAGTCAATGAACAGCATTCTCACATAGGTGTTCTTTTTGTCCAGGTGGGAAAGGGCAGTGTGGAGTGCGATTGAGATTGCATGATCTGTGGATCTGTTGGGGCGGTATGCGAATTGGAGTGGGTCTAGAGTTTCCGGCATGATTGTGTAGATGTGAGCCATGACCAGCCTTTCAAAGCACTTCATATCTACCGACGTGAGGGCTACGGGGTGGAAATCATTTAGGCAGGTTACCTTTGCTTTCTTGGGCACAGGGACTATGATGGTCTGTTTGAAACATGTAGGTATTACAGACTCGGTCAGGGAGAGGTTGAAAATGTCAGTGATGACACTTGCCAGAATTAATGTATCAGGACGAGACCGACATCTTTTCTTAGCCAGTCGAAGCCATGAATCAGCATAATTTTTATGGATACAGTATATACAAAGAAATGTCAATAGAAAAACAGGTAAAACGAAATGAAATGCAGCTACTTTACTGTTATTCTAACTTTGCACGGTTTGACGTGACTGTGTTAGCCATAGTTGGCTAGCTAGCAAGCAAGGGATAAGAGTGTTGACAGCCAGCATGGCAACGGAACATTTAGAATGAAAGACTGGGTTGCGTCCATAGATATAGAACAAAAAGACTTCACGACTGGGTCGCGTTTCTCATGGTCTGAGAGTCTTTAGTTGCCTTTTGGCAAACTCCAAGCGGGCTGTCATGTGCTTTTTACAGAGCAGTGGCTTCCGTCTGGCCACTCTACCATAAAGACCTGATTGGTGGAGTGCTGCAGAGATGGTTGTCCTTCTGGAAGGTTCTCCCATCTTCACAGAGAAACTCTAGATCTCTGTCAGTGACAATCGGGTTCTTGGTCACCTCCCTGAAAACAAGAAATAAAAAACTTGAGTGTGCATAACTATTCACCCCCCCAAAGTCAATACTTTGTAGAGCCACCTTTTGCAGAAATTACAGCTGCAAGTCTCTTGGGGTATGTCTCTATAAACCTGGCACATCTAGCCACTGGGATTTTTGCCCATTCTTCAAGGCAAAACTGCTCCAGCTCCTTCAAGTTGGATGGGTTCCGCTGGTGTACAGCAATCTTTAAGTCATACCACAGATTCTCAATTGGATTGAGGTCTGGGCTTTGACTAGGCCATTCCAAGACATTTCAATGTTTCCCCTTAAACACTCGAGTTATGCTTTAGCAGTATGCTTAGGGTCATTGTCCTGCTGGAAGGTGAACCTCCGTCCCAGTCTCAAATCTCTGGAAGACTGAAACAGGTTTCCCTCAAGGATTTCCCTTTATTTAACGCCATCCATCATTCCTTCAATTCTGACCAGTTTCCCAGTCCCTGCCGATGAAAAACATCCCCACAGCATGATGCTGTCACCACCATGCTTCACTCAATTTTGCTTCACCCAATTTTAGTCTCATCTGACCAGAGTATCTTCTTCCATATGTTTGGGAAGTCTCCCACATGCCTTTTGGCGAACACCAAACGTGTTTGCTTATTTCTTTCTTTAAACAATGGCTTTTTTCTGGCCACTTTTCCATAAATCCCAGCTCCGTGGAGTGTACGGCTTAAAGTGGTCCTATGGACAGATACTCCAATCTCCACTGTGGAGCTTTGCAGCTCCTTCAGGGTTATCTTTGGTCTCTTTGTTTCCTCTCTAATTAATGCCCTCCTTGCCTGGTCCGTGAGTTTTGTTGGGTGGCCCTCTCTTGGCAGGTTTGTTGTGCTGCCATATTCTTTCAATTTTTTAATAATAGATTTAATGGTGCTCCATGGGATGTTCAAAGTTTCTGATATTTGTTTATAACCAAACCCTGATCTGTACTTCTCCACAACTTTGTCCCTGACCTGTTTGGAGAGCTCCTTGGTCTTCATGGTGCCGCTTGCTTGGTGGTGCCCCTTGCTTAGTGGTGTTGCAGACTCTGGGGCCTTTCAGAACAGGTGTATATATACTGAGATCATGTGACAGATCATGTGACACTTAGATTCCACACAGGTGGACTTTATTTAACTAATTATGTGACTTCTGGAGGTAATTGGTTGCACCAGATTTTATTTAGTGGATTCATAGCAAAGGGGGTGAATACATATGCAGGCACCACTTTTCCATTATTTATCTATTAGAATTTTTTTCATTTCACTTCACCAATTTGGAATATTTTGTGTATGTCCATTACATGAAATCGAAATAAAAATCAATTTAAATAACAGGTTGTAATGGAACAAAATAGGAAAAACGCCAAGGGGGATGAATACTTTTGCAAGGCCAGGGATGCTGGCAGCTCCATGGTGATCCACACAGTGGGGCTTAATATGGTCTGTCCAGCTCGTGGATGCTGTACCGGGACAACCTGGACCAGAGCAAGGATCTGATTGGCTCTGTCTCCCAATCCGACATCTTTGCCATGTTCGGTGAGTCTGAGTCTGAGCCACAATGGTTGACACTTTTCACATTTTCCATACTCGTATTGATGAAACTGTACTACCATGGATCCATTCTTGACCCATAGGAACCCTGTTCCTGTGGATGTTCTGGCCTAGTTTTAACCAGGCCATCTCGGACCACAGGGATGGGCAGCATCGAGCGGCCATCAACACCTACCTGTCCCTGGCCACCACTGTCCTCACCACAATAGCCATCTCCAGTCTCTCCCAGAAGACCGGCAAGCTGGACATGGTAATGTAATTGACCCACAGGGTGTGCATTACATACAGTACCAGTCAAAAGTTTGAACACACCTACTCATTCAAGGGTTTTTCTTTATTTTTACTATTTTCTACATTGTAGAATAATAGTGAAGACATCATAACTATGAAATAACACATATGGATTCATGTAGTAACCAAAAAAGTGTTAAACAAAACAAAATGTATTTTAGATTCTTCAAAGTAGCCACCCTTTGCCTTGATGACAACTTTGCACACTATTGGCATTCTCTCAACCAGCTTCATGAGGAATGCTTTTCCAACAGATTTGCAGGAGTTCCCACATATGCTGAGCACTTGTTGGATGCTTTTCCATCACTCTGCGGTCCATCTCATCCCAAACCATCTCAATTGGGTTGAGGTCAGGTGATTGTGGAGGCCAGGTCATCTGATGCAACACTCCATCACTCTCCTTCTTGGTCAAATAGCCCTTAAACATCCTGGAGGTATGTTTTGTCCTGTTGAAAATCCAATGATAGTCCCACTAAGCTCAAACCAGATGGGATGGCGTATTGCTGCAGAATGCTGTGGTAGCCATGCTGGTTAAGTGTGCCTTGAATTCTAAATAAATCACTGACAGTGTCACCAGCAAAGCACCCCCACACCATCACACCTCCTCTTCCATGCTTCATGGTGGGAACCACACATGCGGAGATCATCTGTTCACCTGCTCTGCGTCTCACAAAGACACGGTGGTTGGAACCAAAAATCTCCAATTTGGACACATCAGACCAAAGGACAGATTTCCACCGGTCTAATGTCCATTGCTCGGGTTTCTTGGCCCAAGCAAGTCTCTTCTTATTATTGCTGTACTTTAGTAGTGGTTTCTTTGCAGCAATTCAACCATGAAGGCCTGATTTCACGCAGTCTCCTCTGAACAGTTGATGTTGAGATTTGTCTGTTACTTGAACTCTGTGAAGCATTTATTTGGGCTGCAATCTGAGGTGCAGTTAACTCTTGCCTGGTTCCAGATCTGTTTGTGCTGTCTTGCCAATTCCTATGGTCATTGGAGTATGGTCATACCCACTTCCTTATTATCTCTACTCAAGCCACTGGTCAACTTCTGTTCCTGTGTTCCAGGTTCACATCCATTACGTCACGCTGGCCGGGGGCGCAGTGAAGACTAGTACGGTAGTGACAAGTAAGTTGCTTATGACTAGGCGACTCCTATTTGATTAGTGGGCATGTAGCTAGCTATGTGTCTCTGTCCCCTCAGCCGTTCATGGAGAAGTATCTGAAGATCCATGACACGTGTGGCATCCACAACCTCCACGCCATGCCTGGGGTCATAGGGGGCATCGTGGGCGCCATCACTGCTGCAGCCGCCAGTGAAGGGGTCTATGGCAAGGAGGGGTGAGTTCACAGGTTACAACCATATGCCCACCCAATGGCCTGTTATTATTTCAATCTGCACCAGTTTTAGGCCTATTTGGCAGCTTTAACGTGATGAACTCATCTAATGTCATTATTATGCACATGCAGTAGTGGCACAGCAGCTGGGCAACAAGAATACTGCGGCAATAAAAAGAAAGTCTGCTCAGTTGTTGCCGCTTCCAAATGTGATATTTTCCTTTGACTTACTGATGTAGAGTAACAATCTTGTTTTTAAATAGGTTGATAAACACGTTTGACTTTACGGGGGAATGGAAAGACATGGTGCCGACCCGGCAGGGAGGACACCAGGCAGCAGGGCTCTGTGTGTGTGTGTGCGCGCATGCGTGTTTTCATGAGAACAGGTTACAAGATAGCTGCCAAGTTACTGTGGTATTGTAGTATTGTGTGGCTGTGGTGGTGTATTTGAACAATTGCTACATGTACTCAATCATGTACTCAATGTTGGTGAAATGAGGATGTTGTGTTTGTACCCAGGCTGTATCCTGAGGTTACCTATCTGGGGGGATGCTCCTGATGACATTTGCTTTCAAGATGAGATCTACTGGGATTTGAGATACTGTACTAAACCATTAAAGACTAAATGCATTAATATCATGAAGACTGTGAAGTCATTTTGGAACTATCTTTCTGAAGGTGATTTCTTAGCTTTTTTTAGTTGAGAGAATTTTTATCAAAATAATTGTACACCTTTGGTTTTAATTGATTTGTGTCATTGTTAAAGGGAGGTGTATGTTTTTGTCACCCCTGTCAGCTAAAAAACAGTGTTTCCCTCATACTGTCAAGTCCTACATGGAATGGTCAATACCAGTGTTTAGTTATTAACTTGTATCCAGTCCAAGGAGGGTTGATATTGTTATGTCTAAATGGTCTTTGGTTTGAAGTGGCTGAAGATGTCACGATCGTCAAAAGGATTGGACCAATGCGCAGCGTGGAATGCGAACATACTTTATTATATATTCACCACACGAACAAAAACAACAAAACGATACGTGAAGTCCTTGGTAACAAACACAAACCAACACGGAACAAGATCCCACAATACACTGTGCCAAACAGGCTGCCTAAGTATGGTTCCCAATCAGAGACAACAAGCAACAGCTGATTCTCGTTGCCTCTGATTGAGAACCACCCCGGCCAACATAGATACACATGAACTAGATCCTAACATAGAAACACAAACACATAGAATCTACACACCCTGGCTCAACATAAGAGTCCCAGAGCCAGTGCGTGACAGTACCCCCCCTCAAAGGCGCGGACTGCGACCGCGCCAAACATAAACCGAACAGGGGAGGGCCGGGTGGGCATTCCTCCTCGGAGGCGGATCCGGCTCCGGGCGTGACCACCACCCTCTAATAACCCCCCCGTAGTGCCCCTGGTCTAGTCTGGCCCCGCTGGCTGGAGCTGGACTGGACATCGGTTGAGCGGATTGCTTAGGCTCCGGTGTGGAGCAGCTGACCGGTACCTGACCAGGCACCGGTGAACCGGGCACGGGCTGTGCCGGACTGACGACACGCACCCCAGGCTTGGTGCGGGAAGCAGGAATGGGCCGGACCGGGCTGACGATGCGCACCCCTGGCTTGGTGCGGGGAGCAGGAATGGGCCGGACCGGGCTGACGATGCGCACCACAGGCTTGGTGCGGGGAGCAGGAATGGGCCGGACCGGGCTGACGACGCGCACCCCTGGCTTGGTGCGGGGAGCAGGAACGGGCCGGACCGGGCTGACGACGCGCACCACAGGCTTGGTGCGGGGAGCAGGAATGGGCCGGACCGGGCTGACGACGCACACTCCTGGCTTGGTGCGGGGAGCAGGAACGGGCCGGGCCGGGCTGGCGACGCGCACCATAGGCTTGGTGCGGGGAGCAGGAACAGGCCGGGCCGGCGACGCGCACCATAGGCTTGGTGCGGGGAGCAGGAACAGGCCGGGCCGGGCTGGCGACGCGCACCATTGGCTTGGTGCGGGGAGCAGGAACAGGCCGGGCCGGGCTGGCGACGCGCACCACAGGCTTGGTGCGGGGAGCAGGAACAGGCTGGGCCGGGCTGGCGACGCGCACCATTGGCTTGGTGCGGGGAGCAGGAACAGGCCGGGCCGGGCTGGCGCCGCACACCATAGGCTTGGTGCGGGGAGCAGGAACAGGCCGGGCCGGGCTGGCGACGCGCACCATTGGCTTGGTGCGGGAAGCAGGAACAGGCCGGGCCGGGCTGGCGACGCGCACCATTGGCTTGGTGCGAGGTGCAGGAACAGGCCGGGCCGGGCTGGCGACACGCACCATTGGCTTGGTGCGAGGGGCAGGAACAGGCCGGGTCGGGCTGGCGACGCGCACCATAGGCTTGGTGCGAGGGGCAGGAACAGGCCGGACCGGGCTGGCGACGCGCATCACAGGCTTGGTGCGAGGGACAGGAACAGGCCGGACCGCACTGGGAACACACACCACTGGCCTTATACGGGGATCAGGAACGGGCCGGACCAGACTGGCAACACACTTCAGTACCTCTCGCCGTGCCTCTACACTTTCCCTCCCTCTAATCACCAATGGCTCCCGTAACCCGGTGGCGTTCTCTCCTCGTCCACAAACTCGCCCCTTATCTGCCTCCAGCAGCCCCGTCGTACATGCCATGTGCCCCCCCCTAAAAATGTATTGGGGTTGCCTCTCGCCTGTCCGACGACGACACTGTTGGCGCCGTACCTCCTCTCTCGCCAAGGCTTTAACCTTTGCCCATGGTCCTCTGTCCTCGAACATGTCCTCCCAGGACCACCATTGGCCCACCTGGGCCATCGCCAACTTCTCCATCTCCTTAACCGGCGTTAGCTCCGAAACACGCTGCTTGGTCCAGTATTGGTGGGATCTTCTGTCACGATCGTCAAAAGGATTGGACCAATGCGCAGCGTGGAATGCGAACATACTTTATTAGAGTACTTACACAACTAACAAAACAACAAAAGATACGTGAAGTCCTTGGTAACAAACACAAACCAACACGGAACAAGATCCCACAATACACTGTGCCAAACAGGCTGCCTAAGTATGGTTCCCAATCAGAGACAACAAGCAACAGCTGATTCTCGTTGCCTCTGATTGAGAACCACCCCGGCCAACATAGATACACATGAACTAGATCCTAACATAGAAACACAAACACATAGAATCTACACACCCTGGCTCAACATAAGAGTCCCAGAGCCAGGGCGTGACAGAAGAAGGATATGGCAGTGGAAACTATGTTTACCTCTTCTTTTACATGCTGTTGGAAGCTCTAATAAAAATGTTTCGATGATGATGATGATTTCTGCCACCAGTTACCTGAGGATGAAGAGAACAATCCACCTATCGTGGAGTACAACAACCACATGCGGAACAAAGCCGTGTAAGTAGCAGATTTGTGCAACGTTGTGATTTTGGAAATTGGATTGTAAGGTTTTCTTTTGTTACACCTCATGGTAAGAGCTGCTGAGGTGTGTGGTACGCCAATGTGAGTGTGTGTTGTATAGGCTATGTGCTCTCTCTTCAGGTTCATCTGTTCTGTGTTGATAGGGGTGTTCCATTGCTCTTGACAGGTGCTTTCTGAAAGTTACCTCTTTGAAGGTGACCTTGAAGTTATACAGTAGCTGTTGTGCTTGGCCTGAAAATTATACTGTTTTTAGAATGAGGGATTCTTTTTCTATTTAGGAGGTATCTGTCTATTTGATGTAAAACAATATAGAAAAAGAACAGGAAACAACTTTTAATTCCATTTAAGTGAAGCAATTTGAAAATAGAAAGAGTGTACTGGTCAGAATTTATGAATAAACTGGCTGGCTGAGGCCTTGACATGATGAAACCATGTTGGAGAAGCTGTGTAGCCTATATATTTACTTTAATTTGATGATTGCTGATTAAATATGTGTTTAGGGGCTGTATCAGTTTCACACAAAGGTTGTAACCTTAATGTAACCTTTGTCATTTACAGAACAGAATCAAATGTATCTTTGGAACGGAGTCAGAACTGACGCTAGGGCCTGATGTCATCTCCCCCCTACACTTTCAACTGATGGTCCTATCCTACACTGACTCCTGCTGGACAGAAACCAGTCATCTCCTCTTCACCATTCTGTATACTGTCCTGTTCATGGAATTAATAGTACATTTGTACTACTTTAGATGGAATCACAACAAGAACTTCCTAAGAAACACTGATACTTGTTATCTTTAATGAAATCACATTGGAAAATAATAAAATACAAATAAATGGTGGCATGTTTTATCACCAGTCAGGCATATGTCGAATCACAAGCAGACGCTTAATCATTCATATGAACTGTAAAATAGGCTACTATATGTGACTGTACACAATGTCTTTACACAGCCCACACCTGCAATGATGCTGGTGCTAGAATAATTATTGTAGTAATTAGAATTTGTGGAGATTCCGTCGTTTCTGGCAGGTATACTGTATGCCATGTTTTGTTTGTTTGTTTATGTTTTTTAGGTCCAGTTGCTGGGGCGTTTCATAGGGGGGCCAAGGGGGGACCAAGAACCGTTCATGAGTGGCAATGGGAAATCAGCAAATTGTATCACAAATAGTGTTGAAAATTGGCTTAAACTGTGATGTATTGAATAACTGTTTCAAATTGTAATTTTGTCTGCCCTAATCTATTTAAATAAATTAAACAATAATTAACAAAAAAAACTTTACTTGTCTTTTTCAACTAGCACTGAATTTGCTGATAATTACTTTATAATTATAATATTTTTTTAAACCTAGCCATCTTCCACCTCTGCCCTTCGTTCAACTGACAGCCCGAATCCACTATCCACGATGGGTGTGATGAAACAACAGAAGCCCCATTCATTTTCCACAGAGGAGAGCAAAGTGGACAGATGGATTGTTGGGCGATGCAAGCATGCATGGGCGAGGGAGCGTGAACAGGGTGGGGAAAGTTTAACTTTATGCAAATACTCTGCGATATCGAGGCGTGATTGACCAATCAAAGCTCAGTTTAGCTTCCAGCCACTACTGGATTGGCTGTTGATACCTAGCACTACCTAGCATGTTTGCTAGCACCCAAATGAGGGCGAAGCTAGCGTGGCAAGCTGAATTATCATGGTATTGTGGATCACGGCCATGAGAGGGAAGTTGCACTGTTCACTGCAGCTATTCGATCCACTCTCCGTAGTCCTAAAGCCAGCTAGCCAAGCAAACAGCTTTCAAGCCTGCTCTAAGGCATCCGCATGGTCCTAAGCCAGCCCGCTAATACCACTTTGGTCTAACAGTGTTAAACTATACTGAACAAAAATATAAATATAACATGCACCAATTTCAAATATTTTACTGAGTTACAGTTCATATAAGGAAATCAGTCAATTTAAATAAATGCATTAGGCCCAAATCTATGGATTTCACATGACTGGGAACAAAGATATGCATCATAGATACCTTTAAAAAAAAGGTAGGGGCGTGGATCAGAAAACCAGTCAGTAATTCAAATCAAATCCAAATGAAATTGTATTTGTCACATGCGCCGAATACTACAGGTGTAGACCTTACCGTGAAATGCTTACTTACAAGCCCTTAACCAACAATGCAGTTCCAATTAGGGAAGGGGTGGTGGGGTTGGAAAGTAATAAAGGGAAATATATTTTAAAAAAGGATATGTATATATATGTATGTATATGTATTTATATGTATGTATGTGTATATGTATGTGTGTATATACATACATATATATATATATATATATATATATATAATTGCGAGAAAAAAACCCATATGGGGGAATGGAAGTGATGCAGACAATTACATTGATGGAAGTTACAATCTATCTGCAATATTAAAGCTGATCTACCCCCCAAAAAACAAAACAAAAACAAAAAACAATGCAGTTCAAGAAATAGAGTTAAGAAAACATTTACGAAATAAACTAAAGTCAAAAAATTAAATACAATCAAAAAGTAACAGAAGAAAAGTACATAACAAAAACATATACAGGGGGTACCGGTACTAAGTCAATGTGCGGGGGTACAGGTTAGTCGAGGTAATTTGTAAAGTGACTGTATAGATAATAAACAGCGAGTAGCAGCAGTGTAAAAACAAAGGGGGTGGGGGTCAATGTAAATAGTCCGGGTGGCCATTTGATTAATTGTTCAGCAGTCTTATGGCTTGGGGGTAGAAGCTGTTAAGGAGCCTTTTGGTCCTAGCCTTGGCGCTCCGGTACATCTTGCCGTGCGGTAGCAGAGAGAACAGTCTATGACTTGGGAGACTGGAGTCTGACAATTTTTAGAGCCTTCCTCTGACACCTCCTAGTATATAGGTCATGGATGTCAGGAAGCTTGGCCCCAGTGATGTACTGGGCCGCACGCATTACCCTCTGTAGCGCCTTACGGTCAGATACCGAGCAGTTGCCATACCAGGTGGTAATGCAACCGGTCAGGACGCTCTCGATGGTGCAGCTGTATAATCTTTTGCTGATCTAGGGACCCATGCCAAATCTTTTCAGTCTCCTGAGGCGGAAAAGGTGTTGTCGTGCCCTCTTCACAACTGTCTTGGTGTGTTTGGAGCATGATAGTTTGTTGGTGATGTGGACACCAAGGAACTTGAAACTCTCGATCTGCTCCACTTCAGCCCCGTCGACTATATGGGGGCCTGTTCGGCCCTCCTTTTCCTATAGTCCACGATCAGCTCATTTGTCTTGCTCACATTAAGGGAGAGGTTGTTGTCCTGGCACCACACTGCCATGTCTCTGACCACCTCCCTATAGGCATCGTTGTCGGTGATCAGACCTACCACTGTTGTGTCGTCAGCAAACTTAATGATGGTGTTGGAGTCGTGCTTGGCCACGCAGTCATGGGTGAACAGGGAGTACAGGAGGGGACTAAGCACGCACCCCTGAGGGGCCCCAGTGTTGAGGATCAGCGTAGCAGATGTGTTGTTGCCTACCCTTACCACCTGGGGGTGGCCCATCAGGAAGTCCAGGATCCAGTTGCAGAGGGAGGTGTTTAGTCCCAGGGTCCTTAGCTTAGTGATGAGCTTTGTGGGCACTATGGTGTTGAACGCTGAGCTGTAGTCAATGAACAGCATTCTCACATACAGTTGAAGTCGGAAGTTTACATACACCGTAGCCAAATACATTTAAACTCAGTTTTTCACAATTCCTGACATTTAATCCTAGTATAAATTCTCTGTCTTAGGTCAGTTAGGATCACCACTTTATTTTAAGAATGTTTAATGTCAGAATAATAGTAAAGAGAATTATTTATTTCAGCTTTTATTTCTTTCATCACATTCCCAGTGGGTCAGAAGTTTACATACACTCAATTAGTATTTGGTAGCATTGCCTTTAAATTGTTTAACTTGGGTCAAACGTTTCGGGTAGCCTACCACAAGCTTCCCACAATAAGTTGGGTGAATTTTGGCCCATTCCTCCTGACAGAGCTGGTGTAACTGAGTCAGGTTTGTAGGCCTCTTTGCTCGCACACGCCTTTTCAGTTCTGCCCACAAATGTTCTATAGGATTGAGGTCAGGGCTTTGTGATGGCCACTCCAATACCTTTACTTTGTTGTCCTTAAGCCATTTTGCCACAACTTTGGAAGTATGCTTGGGGTCATTATCCATTTGGAAGACGCATTTACGACCATGCTTTAACTTCCTGACTGTCTTGAGATGTTGCTTCAATATGCCATCTATTTTGTGAAGTGCACCAGTCCCTCCTGCAGCAAAGCACCCCCACACAGCATGATGCTGCCACCCCAATGCTTCACGGTTGGGATGGTGTTCTTCGGCTTGCAAGCCTCGCCCTTTTTCCTCCAAACATAACGATGGTCATTATTGCCAAACAGTTATATTTTTGTTTCATCAGACCAGAGGACATTTCTCCAAAACTGTGCAGTTGCAAACCGTAGTGGCTTTTTTATGGCGGTTTTGGAGCAGTGGCTTCTTCCTTGCTGAGCGCCCTTTCAGGTTATGTCGATATAGGACTCGTTTTACTGTGGATATAGATACTTTTGTACCTGTTTCCTCCAGCATCTTCACAAGGTCATTTGCTGTTGTTCTGGGATTGATTTGCACTTTTCGCACCAAAGTACATTCATCTCTAGGAGACAGAACGCGTCTCCTTCCTGAGCGGTATGACGGCTGCATGGTCCCATGGTGTTTATACTTGCGTACTATTGTTTGTACAGATGAACGTGGTACCTTCAGGCATTTGGAAATTGCTCCCAAGGATGAACCAGACTTGTGGAGGTCTTCAATTATTTTTCTGAGGTCTTGGCTGATTTCTTTAGATTTTCCCATGATGTCAAGCAAAGAGGCACTGAGTTTGAAGGTATGCCTTGAAATACATCCACAGGTACACCTGCAATTGACTAGAATGATGTCAATTAGCCTATCAGAAGCTTCTAAAGCCATGACATCATTTCCTGGAATTTTCCAAGCTGTTTAAAGGCACAGTCAACTTAGTGTATGTAAAGTTCTGACCCACTGGAATTGTGATACAGTCAATAATAAGTGAAATAATCTGTCTGTAAGCAGTTGTTGGAAAAATTACTTGTGTCATGCACAAAGTAGATGTCCTAACCGACTTGCCAAAACTATAGTTTGCTAACAAGAAATTTGTGGAGTGGTTGAAAAATGAGTTTTAATGATTCCAACCTAAGTGTTCCTTTTGTCCAGGTGGGAAAGGGCAGTGTGGAGTGCGATTGACATTGTATCATCTGTGGATCTGTTGGGGCAGTATGCGAATTGGAGTGGGTCTAGAGTTTCCGGCATGATTGTGTTGATGTGAGCCATGACCAGCCTTTCAAAGCACTTCATGGCTACCGACGTGAGGGCTACGAGGCGGTAATCATTTAGGCAGGTTACCTTCGCTTTCTTGGGCACAGGGTGGTCTGTGGTGGTCTGTTTGAAACATGTAGGTATTACAGACTCGGTCAGGGAGAGGTTGAAAATGTCAGTGATGACACTTGCTAGAATTAATGTATCAGGACGAGACCGACATCTTTTCTTAGACAGTCGAAACCATGAATCAGCATAATTTTTATGGATACAGTATATACAAAGAAATGTCAATAGAAAAACAGGTAAAACGAAATGAAATGCAGCTACTTTACTGTTATTCTAGCTCTGCACGGTTTGACGTGACTGTGTTAGCCATAGTTGGCTAGCTAGCAAGCAAGGGATAAGAGTGTTGACAGCCAGCATGGCAACGGAACAGTTAGAATGAACGACTGGGTCGCGTCTCTGGCAACCTAACCGATAGAATGAACATCCACCCGGCTTGGCTAGCAACCATAGTTGTGTCCGGACTAGGCCTATATTTGCGTTGAGATATGAAATAGTACCCTATGAATACATTCAGCAAAATATTTGTATTTATTTAATTGGTAACCCATTGTAGAAAAGCAATTGTACACTCGAGGTTGTGCAAAACAACTTATTTAGCACGGCTGTGCTGATCTACTGAGCTCGTCTCCACCTCGTACCTATGACCAAGGCACAGCTGTGCTAATAAAAAAAATGTTTAGCACGCCCCCTTGTATACAATTGCTTTAGTATGAATGAGTCAGTCATGCAGAACATACAGTGCCTTCGGAAAGTATTCAGACCCCTTGACTTTACAGCCTTATTCTAAAATTGATCAAATTGTTTTTTTCACTCATCAATCTACACAACATACCCCATAATGAAAAAGCAAAAACAGGTTTTTAGACATTTCTGCTCATTTATTAAAAATAAAAAAACAGTAATATCACATTTACATAAGTATTCAGACCCTTTACTCAGTACATTGTTGAAGCACCTTTGGCAGCAATTACAGCCTTGAGTCTTCTTGGGTATGATGCTACAAGCTTGGCACACCTGTATTTGGGGAGTTTCTCCCATTCTTCTCTGCAGATCCTCTCAAGCTCTGTCAGGTTGGATGGGAAGCGTTGCTGCACAGCTATTTTCAGGTCTCTCCAGAGATGTTCAAGTCCGGGCTCTGCTGGGCCACTCAAGGACATTCAGAGACTTGTCCCGAAGCCACTCCTGCATTGTCTTGGTTGTGTGCTTAGGGTCGTTGTCCTGTTGGAAGGTGAACCTTCACCCCAGTCTGAGGTCCTGAGCGCTCTGGAGCAGGTTTTCATCAAGGATCTCTCTGTACTTTGCTCAGTTCAACTTTCCCTCAATCCTGACTAGTCTCCCAGTCCCTGCAGCTGAAAAACACCCTCACAGCATGATGCTACCACCACCATACTTCACCGTAGGGATGGTGCCAGGTTTCCTTCAGACGTGACGCTTGGCATTCAGGCCAAAGAGTTGAATCTTGGTTTCATCAGACCAGAGAGAGGTCTGAGAGCCTTTAGTTGCCTTTTGGAAAACTCCAAGTGGGCTGTCATGTGATTTTTACTGAGCAGTGGCTTCCGTCTGTCCACTCTACCATAAAGACCTGATTGGTGGAGTGCTGCAGAGATGGTTGTCCTTCTGGAAGGTTCTCCCATCTTCACAGAGGACCTGTCAGTGACCATCGGGTTCATGGTCACCTCCCTGACCAAGGCCCTTCTCTCCCGATTGCTTAGTTTGGCCGGGCGGCCAGCGCTAGGAAGAGTCTTGGTGGTTCCAAACTTCTCCCATTTAAGAATGATGGAGGCCACTGTGTTCTTGGGGACCTTCAATGCTGCAGACATGTTTTGGTACCCTTCCCTAGATCTGTGCCTTGACACAATCCTGTCTCGGAGCTCTACGGACATTTCCTTCGACCTCATGGCTTGGTTTTTTCTCTGACATGCATTGTCAACTCTGGGACCTTATATATACAGGTGTGTGCCTTTCCAAATCATGTCCAATCAATTGAATCTACCACATATGGACTCCAATCAAGTTGTAGAAACATCTCAAGGATGATCAGTGGAACAAGATGCACCTGAGCTCAATTTCGAGTCTCATAGCAAAGGGTCTGAATACTTTTGTAAATGTGATATTTCCGGATGTGTATTTATTTAATACATTTTAGAATAAGGCTGTAACGTAACAAAATGTGGAAAAGATCAAGGGGTCTGAATACTTTCTGAAGGCTCTGTAAGCCTACGTCATTGAAATCAATCTATAGAAGAACATGTGTGGATGGAAACGGATCCTGCATGCGTGCATGGTAGGAGTGCCAGAGAGAGCCTATCGTGATGCAGGAGAAGTGGAGGAACCGGTCTGATGGGAAAATCCCTCATATGTATCACTTGTTACTGTTGATCATCCTGGCTTCTGAGATTTACTGTCTGTGGACACAATAATGGGAGGGCAAACAAAAACACAGCACTACAATCACGCATTTATGATACTGCTGAAGTATTGTATTAACAGATATGAGACTGTATGTGTGGGTGAATGTCTGTGTGACGCGTGTGCATGTAAGCAAACGTGCCTGTGTGTGTGTGTGTGCCTGTATGTGTGCGTGTGTGTGTGTGTGCGTGTGTGTACGCTAATACCATAATAGCAGTTTGGTATCCTAGCAGAAGGGCCCAATATAAAGTAGGATGTCAATTAAATCAGTGTTGTGAGGTATACAGAGTTATGGTTATGTGAGATCATATAAATATAAATGCTCTGTATTTTGTGTGTGGTTTAATTTGTAACAAACATTACTGAAGGATACAAATGTACCAAGTCAATATACTGTATCATCATGTTAGACATAATGTTGGACTGGTCATTAAATAACAAGGTTCTTAAATTATTATTAGGTTCACGATAACATCAACTATTGATCTGTCATTGTCATTCTTTTTCTGTGACCATTTTCAAGGGATAATGGTATGGGCACGCTACACTTTTAGAACAAAGACAATCCCACTTCAAACATACACCAACCTAGCCTGGTCCCAGATCTGTTTTTGTTCTGTGACAATGACCAAATGAGTTGGCAAGACACCACAAACATATCTGGTACCAGGCTGACACCGTCTCAGTATACATTATAATCCTACCCTGATTCTGTCCTTATCAGCATGATCAATGCAGACTTCTGTATAGCCAGCTGCCTGATAGCGTACGGGGCGGTGCTAGGCAAGGTGAGCCCAGTCCAGCTGATGGTGAAGACGCTGTTCGGAGTCACTCTGTATGCTGTGGAGGAGTATATCATCCTCAGCCTCATACATGTAAGTCTTTAGTAAATAATAAAGGCTTTAATATTAAGTCCTGCATAAAACCTGCATAACTGGTTCTTACGAATGGCCCAAAGTGTCAATGTCTGTGCGTGGTTGATTGATTGATTTATGAATGCATTTACCGTTACAATAAGACTTTATGGAATAGATGTGGATATTTACATATTGTTATGAGGTTAGGTCATAGTGTTGTGTGAACCAGGTTAAAGTTAGTAGATAAATTATTCTTGGTGCCACAGAGTCTGCATTCCATTATGTCAAGGGAGATTACTGATGTTTATATTGGAATGATTGATGGATATGATATACTGACTTGGGTACAGGGGAATAACATCAGAGAAGGGAGTGCCCACTGATGGTTACCAGATGTGGTTGAAGAAACGTGTAACAGAGGGTATATATGTCACAATCGTTTAAAGACTGGTCGAACCAAGGCGCAGCGTGATAACCGTACATGTTTATTAAACAAATAAACACACGACAAAACAACAAACAAACGATACGTGAAGTCTTAAGGTACACACAACAAACCTATACGGAACAAGATCCCACAACTAACAGGTGCCAAAAGGCTGCCTAAGTATGGTCCCCAATCAGAGACAACGAGCGACAGCTGCCTCTGATTGGGAACCACACCGGCCAACATAGAAATAGACATACCAGATACTACACCATAGAAACAACACAGCACGGAATATACACACCCTGACTCAACAAATAAACGTCCCCTGAGTCAGGGCGTGACAGTACCCCCCCCCCCCCCCCAAAGGTGCGGACTCCGACCGCGCCACATAAACATAACAGGGTAGGGGCCGGGTGGGCATTCCGCCTCGGAGGCAGATCCGGCTCCGGGCGTGACCACCACTTTCTCTCCACCTCCCTGTTGCGCCCTTGGTTTGGTCTGGACCTCGGCGCGCTGCTTCCCCTCTCCTTCCTCCCACGAAGTACCAAGCCCTGTCTGGACCCTGGTGTGGGAGACCCCAAACCTGGAGAGGGGCTGACGTCTGGGTCTGGACTGGAACCGCTGACTGGAGCTGGACCCGACGACGGTGGATCGAACTGCACATGCTCCGGACTGGAGCCGCTGACCGGAGATGGACTGGGCACCGGTGGAGAGGATTGCTCTGGCTCCGGAGTGGAGCAGCTAACCAGAGCTGGATCAGGCACCGGTGGAGCGGACTGCTCTGGCTCCGGAGTGGAGCAGCTGACCGGTGCCGGACCAGGCACCAGTGGGACAGGCACGGGCCGTGCCGGACTGGACACACGCACCACTGGCTTGGTGCGAGGAGCAGGAACAGGCCGGACCGGGCTGGCGACGCGCACCACTGGCTTGGTGCGAGGGGCAGGAACAGGCCGGGCCGGGCTGGCGACGCGCACCACTGGCTTGGAGCGAGGGACAGGAACAGGCCGAACCGGGCTGGCGACGCGCACCACTGGCTTGGTGCGAGGGGCAGGAACAGGCCGGGCTGGCGACGCACACCACTGGCTTGGTGCGAGGGGCAGGAACAGTCCGGGCTGGCGACGCGCACCACTGGCTTGGTGCGAGGGACAGGAACAGGCCGGACCGGGCTGGAGACGCGCACCACTGGCTTGGTGCGAGGGAAAGGAACAGGCCGGGCAGGACTGGGAACACGCACCACTGGCTTGGTGCGGGGAGCAGGAACGGGCCGGGCCGGACTGGGAACACGCACCACTGGCTTGGTGCGGGGAGCAGGAACGGGCCGGGCCGGACTGGGAACACGCACCACTGGCTTGGTGCGGGGAGCAGGAACGGGCCGTACCGGACTGTGGAGGCGGACTGGAGGTCTGGAGCGGAGAGCTGACACAACCCGTCCTGGCTGGATGCCTACTTCCACACAATATGTGTGAGGCATTAGCACAGGACGTACGGGGCTGTGCACGCGTACTGGCGATACAGTACGTAGCACCGGCGCAGGATATACGGGACCGAGGAGGCGTACTGGAGACCACGAGCGTTGAGCCGGCACACCCCGTCCTGGCTGAATGCCCATCTTCGCACGACACGTGCGTGGTGCCAGCACAGGACGTACAGGACTGTGCCGGAACACTCGCGGCACAGTACGTAGCTCCGCATAACACGGAGCCTGCCCAGTCACACGCTTCCTTGCATGAGTACGGGGAGTTGGCTCTGCTCTAACACTAGGCTCCGCCAACCACCCTTTTAGCCCCCCCAAAAAAAATTATTGGGGCTGTCTCTCGGGCTTCCTCCTCGGCCGGCACCTTCTGCGTTGCCGCTGCTCCTCTCTATAGCACGCCTCCACTGTCTCCTCCCAAGGACGGCGATCCATTCCGGCCTGAATCTCCTCCCAAGTCCAGGATCCCTTCCCGTCCAGGATCTCCTCCCAGGTCCAGGCTGTCTGCTCCTGGACACGCTGCTTGGTCCTCATTTGATGGGATCTTCTGTCACGATCGTTTAAAGACTAGTCGAATCAAGGCGCAGCGTGATAAGCGTACATGTTTATTAAACGAATAAACATACGACAAAACAACAAACAAACGATACGTGAAGTCTTAAGGTACACACAACAAACCTATACGGAACAAGATCCCACAACTAACAGGTGCCAAAAGGCTGCCTAAGTATGGTTCCCAATCAGAGACAACGAGCGACAGCTGCCTCTGATTGGGAACCACCCCGGCCAACATAGAAATAGACATACCATATACTACACCATAAAACAACACAACACGGAATATACACACCCTGACTCAACAAATAAACGTCCCCTGAGTCAGGGCATGACAATATAAGTGAGAGGGTCTCTCTTTGTCTAGTTAGTTCGGAAAAGCTAGAGGCAAAGCACTGTCTGTTTGTTATGCGAACCATGGTACCTATTAAATATTTATATGAACTCCCCAGCTAAGTGTTAAATATCTTCTTGCATCATGAATTACTTGATACCCGAGAAACTCATCATAACACATATGAATGAGGTGGCTGGTTTACTGTATACAGTGGCTTGCAAAAGTATTCACCCCCCTTGGCATTTTTCCTATTTTGTTGCCTTACAACCTGGAATTAAAATTGATTTTTGGGGGGTTTGTATCATTTGATTTACACAACATGCCTTCCACTTTGAAAAAACAAGAAATAAGACAAAAAACTGAAAACTTGAGCATGCATAACTATTCACCCCCCCCCCCCCCCCAAAGTCAATACTTTGTAGAGCCACCTACCAAGTCTCTTGGGGTATATCTCTATAAACCTGGCACATCTAGCCACTGGGATTTTTGCCCATTCTTCAAGGCAAAACTGCTCCAGCTCCTTCAGGTTGGATGGGTTCTGCTGGTGTACAGCAATCTTTAAGTCATACCATATATTCTCAATTGGATTGAGTTCTGGGCTTTGACTAGGCCATTCCAAGACATTTCAATGTTTTCCCTTAAACCACTCAAGTGTTGCTTTAGCAGTATGCTTAGGGTCATTGTCCTGCTGGAAGGTGAACCTCCGTCCCAGTCTCAAATCTCTGGAAGACTGAAACAGGTTTCCCTCAAGAATTTCCATGTATTTAGCGCCATACTTCATTCCTTCAATTCTGACCAGTTTCCCAGTCCCTGCCGATGAAAAACATCCCGACAGCATGATGCTTCACTGTGGGGATGGTGTTCTCGGGGTGATGAGAGGTGTTGGGTTTGCGCCAGACATAACGTTTTCCTTGATGGCCAAAAAAATCTATTTTAGTCTCATCTGACCATAGTATCTTCTTCCATATGTTTGGGGAGTCTCCCACATGCCTTTTGGCGAACAACAAACTTTGCTTATTTTTTTCTTTAAGCAATGGCTTTTTTCTGGCCACTCTTCCGTAAAGCTCAGCTCTGTGGAGTGTACGGCTTAAAGTGGTCCTATGGACAGATACTCCAATCTCTGCTGTGGAACTTTGTAGCTCCTCTCTGATTAATGCCCTCCTTGCCTGGTCCATGAGTTTTGGTGGGCGGCCCTCTCTTGGCAGGTTTGTTGTAGTGCCATATTCTTTCAATTTCTTAATAATGGATTTAATGGTGCTCCGTGGGATGTTCAAAGTTTCTGATATTTTTTTATAACCCAACCCTGATCTATACTTCACAACTTTGTCCCTGACCTGTTTGGAGAGCTCCTTGGTCTTCATGATGCCGCTTGCTTGGTGGTGCCCCTTGCTTAGTGGTGTTGCAGACTCTGGGGCCTTTCAGAACAGGTGTATATATACTGAGATCATGTAACAGATCATGTGACACTTAGATTGCACACAGCTGGACTTTGTTTAACTAATTATGTGACTTCTGAAGGCAATTGGTTGCACCAGATCTTATTTAGGGGCTTCATAGCAAAGGGGGTGAATACATATGCACGCATCACTTTTCCGTTATTTATTTTATATAATTTTTTGAAACAAGTAATTTTTTTCATTTCACTTCACCAATTTTGACTATTTTGTGTATGTCCATTACATGAAATCCAAATAAAACTCAATTTAAATTACAGGTTACAATGCAACAAAATAGGAAAAACGGCAAGGGGGATGAATACTTTTGCAAGGCACTGTATCATTATCTGTTACAGGCCAGGGATCAACACCTACCTGTCCCTTGCTACCACTGTCCTCACCACAATAGCCATCTCCAGTCTCTCCCAGAAGACCGACAAGCTGGACATGGTAATGTAATGGACCCACAGGGTGTGCATTACATACAGTACCAGTCAAAAGTTTGGACACACCTACTCATTCAAGGGTTTTTCTTTATTTTTACTATTTTCCACATTGTAGAATAATAGTGAAGACGTCACAACTATGAAATAACACATATGGAATCATGTAGTAACCAAAAAAGTGTTAAACAAATCAAAATATATTTTAGATTTTAGATTCTTCAAAGTAGCCACCCATTGCCTTGATGACAGCTTTGCACACGCTTGGTATTCTCTCAACCAGCGTCATGAGGAATGCTTTTCCAACAGTCTTGAAGGAGGTCCCACATATGCTGAGCATCCTTCA